GGGAGGCGGTGCCTTGAAGCATCCAAGCCCTGCTGCAGTCGTCCTGCAATGCCCCGTCTGACTAACAGACAGCGAGGCCATGCAGTTGCAGTTGCCCATACGCCACTCCGGGCCACGCTGAGGCGTGCCAGATGCTATTTCCAGCGTTGCGGTGATCAACTCACTCTGAAACAAGTAAGCACTTGTCTTGTCGTCTGGCCAAGCTTTCCGACCACCGCCAGCGCGATTTAACGCGAGGTGGAACTTCAGGTCCCTGAAATGCAGGTTCAATTGGGCCCACGTCCAGCCATTGACCGCTCTGGCAACCAGCAGCACGCTTCTCTTTAGCCCGACGTTTTCGTGTCTCGATGCTCAGCTCTCTGCATCTGTACCACGATGCTGTACATGCGTGACCCACCTGCTGTCAAGGCAACCATCCCCGTCACCGCCGCATCGATTGGGTCCCCCGGAGCTGGGTGCGTGTTTTGCGTTCCAGGGCGACTATGAGACAAGCATGTCGTCATTCTCCGGCCTTCTTTCGTCTTCCGAGGCCAGCAATTTCTGAGACGGCCAACGCTCCCCCGAAACCGGGGCGCACGTCACTGGAGAAGCCGAGCCGACAACTATGACGAAGAGTAATCTTGGATGAATATGGTGGTTCGAGCAGACCATGAATTCGAGGCGGCAAGTTGAGATTGGTGGTGCCTGGCCACGCATCCCTACTCGGGTATTCGCGTTGCAACCCTGCTCGATTAGCGCCAAGCCCGTTCTTGCCGGTACCCTAATTCTAGCCCACCGGATTCTCTCATTTGCCGTAGAATTTCATCAGAACATCTTCATCTTTGATCGTCGTCTCGTATTCCCGACGCGCGTTGTTGATGTCACTCTTGTTCCCTCATCGTGGTTCGAGTCACGATGTTTTTCCGGCGCCGACGCAGTCCATCTCCTCTTTTGCCGCGCGCTTTGGCATTGCCATGACTAAAAGTATCTCCCTCGCCCCCACGACGCTCGCTTTGACAAATGCCATAGCAGGTATTATGCCACGAGACGCGTGCTAAGCACATTTTCTTTCCCACGAACACGTGGACCCCCTCTCATCATTACTAGAGACGCTTCGATACGTCGTAGTGAGCACATGTCGCTTCGGTCTTACAGGTCCGGCTGATTTAGATTCCTGCAGCCGCTAAGCTGATGGCTGCCGTAGTGTTCGTAGGTAAGCTACCGAGTGGGCTGACTGGTCGTCTCGTAGTCAAGCTGACTTGGTTGTACAAGAGACGTTGATCCGTCGCTGGCATCTTTGGTTAGCGCCCAATTCGCTTATCTACTTGATTGGATAGTCCAACTTGGCGATTACCAGCCAATATGCGCAAGCTTTCCTCGATTTCACAAGCATATTCGGAGATACACTTCTACTTCTCGTCCTGTCCCCCAAAGTTGTTGATCAACACTCTCGTAAATGGCTTGATTATCTATAAAAGGCCGCTACCATATCTTTTCAGACTTGGGACGCCCGAAGCTAAATACAGAGGGTGTCGTCGTAGCCGCTGAGGCTATACACCAACATCATGTGTGACAGCGCATCGCAACAACATCGAATAAGAATTTGTGCGGCCCGCCTCAAGCGCCAGAGGAACGCACTGAGTCGGGAACTTGTGTTTTTCGGGCACTCGTCTCGCTTTTCCACGCCCGTTTTGTCTAATTTCAACCGCTTTTGGACGCATTTCGCTCAGGTTTGCACAGGGCCAATTTAATACAATGCCCTCTCGAAGTCGCACGAGAACGCAGTGATGGATCGCTATCACCACTTTTGGAGCAGCTTCCAGAGCCTGATCGAGTGCGATGACTTCTGAAGAAATGAGTCTGTCAACCCATGAACTCACTAAGCCACACCTTTCATGTCAATGTAGGCACGATTTGCCGCAAGCGCAGGAGGCTTCCACATGTGGGTTACCAAGGCTGTGATCGATTGAGATCCACGCAGATGGCGCTTAGTTGCATACGACTCGAATGTAGTGCTCAGCTTTGTGGTGAAGGCTTTCGTTGGCTGCAATCTTGCTCTATCTGCATAATTTGGCTCATGGCCTACCTAAATAGTTTTGTTGATGGTTCCAATTTGTGTACCAACGTTGCGACAGCCAGGTCGAGTACGCAAGCACAGTAATGGCCATGCTGTCCACCATTGCGAAATCTACCGTCCGCTTGCCTTCGTTAAATCGTCGCACCGCTCAGATCATCACGACGTCGCTAGCAAACTCCGATGCAGACAACAGCCACTCGCTCTCTACCCCAACCGCCATCGGAATCGGCGTCGCTATAGGCATTGTCGGTACCATATTCATCCTGACTATAGTACTATTACTTCACCGCGCATGGAGACTCCGTCGCCCACAGCCAGCAAGACGATACCGGCAGGCCAAGCTATGGAAAGGCTTTGAGCCAGTGACACCTAGCACGGCGAGAACGACCTTTGTCGGAACCAGAATGACGAACATATACCTAACAGAGTTACCGACACCAGTCACACCTGCGTTTCTCATGAGTCCGCCGCTACAAGGAGGCCAAGAGCATGGGTACGAGAATATGGGTCGACGGCACAGCGAGCCCTCGTGATGGCAATACATTCTTTGGGCTACGAATCTAGTACTTGCCGTGTACTGCTTCCAGGGACATACTCCAAGTATGCATGCCGTCATCTACATGCAGTTGCCGGGATAAACTCTGTCCTTGAAAGTACGATTTTAATGATCGACGCAAAACAATGCCAGGCATCAGTCTGAAATGGAGCCGCCAACCTACTCCCTTATCATACTCCCGACACCAATCCCTCAAACACAGTCAGTGGGAACAGTCCTCGAACTAGATTGGTACTCAACTGCTGCTCCGATCAACCACTCTCTGACCACTCGCATGTTTACCAGGAGAGTCAGGCATCGCTTTCTTCGCTGGTACTGTCTCCTCTCCTTGTACAGGTGACCAGCGGCGTCGCTTGGATGGCGCTTGGCCTGCGATTGCCGTAACTTGCTCTTGAAGATTCTTTACCTACCTATCATGTGGAAGCTTGGAGACGAAGACGAACCATGTAGACGAAAGACTCAAACTCAATTTTGCTCCGATTGCGTATATTCTGTGGATGTTTATCGAAACGGATCCACGCGTCGTACAGCTCCCGTTGTTGTGCTATACAGGTGATAGGTCAGCGAACGTCAAGACATAATTCCAATTGACTTGCCTTGATCGAGCGTTGCGAAACCCTTAGGGATGTGGTGTATCCTGAAAACCGAATCCGCGTCCTGCAGGTGAAACATCGTGTAAAAGTAACAATTCTCACATCGCATCAGGAGATCTCTGGTTTCACGAATCCATCTCCATACTTCTCCGTCATCAATCTTTTGTTCACATTTTGCTGGAGTCACAGGAAGGGCCAGGATTTGGCGATACTCGTGACCACGTCGCTGGAGCTCGACTAAGTCTGCTCTGTACTTCGGGCTATTGTTACTACGTGTTGCGAAGAGGGAAAGCTGAGACTGAATCTCCTCGACCTTTTCGATCAAATCCATGTGTCGGAAACGATCCCACGTCGCCATCGTCAGCTGCAAGGTTGATCTCGAAGTAAAGCAAGGATTAGGTAGCTGTAAAGAGGTGAGTTGTACTACTAAAATTATTTATTGTTCCGCATCGTCCACGCACAATGTGAAGTACGGATAGGAGAAAATTAAGCATTCACAAGTCGAGATGCAGGTTGAGCGATGCCGTCACATTGTGCAATCAGAGAACTCAAGAAGAGTGAGAAGCAGCAAAACGCCATGCTACCAGCTGACGTGTCTGTTGGACACCCTGGATCGACTCCTGTCACCTTTAGCATAATCGTTTATAGTATGAAAGAAATGGCACAACACTGTTGGGAGCTTGCCGTTGACATCGCCCTTTAGCGTCTTACGAATTTGTAGATCTTGTTTCCTTACCCGAATATTGCAAAGCAACCCAAAAGGCGTGACAACTCTGATCGAACCTGCTACATTGCTCGATCCATTCCACCGTAGACAATAGAAAATTCGAACGGGTATAGAGATGACATTCCCTAACTTACCGCCTACGTTAGCTTTTAAGAAGAAATTCTAGCAAGATTAGTAGCATTATAGACTTCTAGATTCTCTATCTATATCTAGAAAGGTCTTAACACGTGTTATTGTAGTAGGTATAAGTACTTTCCTCTAAAGAGATGTTCAGTTACTCTCTTTAAGATGGTGATTCTGTGACTGTAAGACGATAGTGCCGCAAAAACTATAATCCTACCTGCCGTATTGTCAGAGTAAGACCCTCACGATCATGGAAGGTCCGAATGTCGAGGGCCGAACTTGGCCGACTGATTTTGGAAAGGACGATGACCGTAAGGATAGAACTGGTTGCTTCGTGGAGCTTTTTGCACAGCGAAAAATTCCGCGGGATATAATGTACAAAAACAACAATTTCTTCAACAACAAGCAACTGGCCGGTTGGCGCAATGGTAGCGCGCAGCCCTCCTAAGGCTGAGGCTGTGGGTTCGAGTCCCACATCGGTCGCTTTTTTTGCCTTTTCCATCAATGGAAACCTTTTGCAGAGCTCGCATAGAACCATAGGCTCTCTTTTTGCATGGTTTTGTGGGAATGGAAGGTGGGGCGGACCACTACTATCGATAAGACACACGACTTCTCCTCTCCTAAAAAGTCCGATGAATTGACGGGGACACTCAAATCCTGCAAACATCTCACTGGCTGAGAGAAAATGCATGCCGACAATGGTACGGGTAGTCAACCTTTTTACAATACTACAAGGAAGCACAACAAAAGTGACTCCATGCACATGCCCGTGATGGAATTTCTCAAATACGATCCACCAACTCTCACTATAATCCCGCTTCGTAGTAAAACACTCGCTATTTGAACATGGAATCGCCAAACCAAAGTATCGTAAAACATGGCCAGAACATAGATGCGTAACGATCAACCCGCCACTTCCCCCAACACCTCATGATCAAAACATAATCAAGCGCTCTCGGCCCTTCCACTACTATTGCTACCACCCTCGCGACTGCTCCTCCTCTTCCCGACCGGCCTTACCGGCGGTCTCATATCACCCCTCCCCTCAGTCGCAGCCTCATACCCGCCATCTTCCTCCATCTCACTCATACTCGACGCATTACTCAGCATGCTAGCTCTCTTACTCTGCCAGGGTAGATTCCCCTCACTAGGCGTACTAGGTCGGGACCCCACGCTGCTTCTTTGTGGCGGTTGTCTTGCCGATTGCGCGTTACCCTGTGTGATGGTTGAGTTAGAGCGGAGAGATGACTTGCGACTCGTGGTTGTACTGGTGGACGTGTTACTCCATCGACGCTCGCGGCTTTCGGCAGGCCGGAGACGACCGTCCATGTCGAGGTCGGGGGTGGGCGTTGTGCTTCGCGAAGAGCTACGGGAATGCGACCCGTCCCTTCCTCTTGGGTTTTGCAGTAAACTTTGTCGTCGCTTCCGTGAGCCTGTATGCGAGAGGCTATGGCTGTGACCATGGTGATGGCCACTCTTTTCTACGTCGGCGCTTCGTCCACTGAGACCGCGTGCGCGCTTCCAGCCTCGCCAGCCGGTCCACCATAGCCATCCTCCTTCTTCTCTTGCAATCTCACGTTGTCTGGCGCGGACGCGTTTCCGCAGCTCAGCTCGTCGCTCGTTCTCCGTGGCCCAGTATTCGTTTCTGTAGACTTCCCACTCTTGACGGAAGTCGGGTGTGAAGGGCTTCGGGAGGAGGAGTAGCTTGATGTAGTCGCCTCCCGGTGCAATGTCTTCCTCGGCGTATTCCTTGCCATCTTCCACGATGCGATGGCGGGGTCGGCCGCCGTCTAATGCATGCTTGTTTTCCTGCGCGACGTTGATGAAGTGGTAGGAACTGCCTCCCTGCTCCCCACCCCACAGCCCACCAGAGAAAGGCACGACAAAGTGACCCCATTCTACCAGCTCTCTCCACCACGGCCCCCGTATGACGACAATCTTGGCGTTCATGCCTCTGAGCCCTCGATTTGCAACGCCGATCCACCGGCGCGGCCATCTAACCCCTCTCTCCCATTGTCCAGTCGCCCAGAAGAGCAGAGCGGTGACGACGCCTGTTATGAAGCCAACCTTCTGCAGCATATCAACGAGCCAGTATTGTGAACCTCCAATACCCTTGCCATCCTCTCGTGGACGCAACCACAACAGGTAGAAACAAAAGCCTATCCATACCGCCAACAGTGTGAGGACGAAAGTGTTCTGCCGCCGGCGGGCGCGTAGGGTGAGGTATTGGCTGCGAAGACTGGCTTCGAGTATGAGGAGATTCAGGTAGATTTGCGGCGGCGACGAGGGGAGGAGGGATGTCGGATCGCTAAGGACGGGCGGTCGCGGGGTCTTGATGGTGGGCAGGCGGTCGTTGTTGGCATTGTGGGGTGTGTCTTGGAGGATGGACGCAGAGTACGGCGGCGGGTCGCTCTCGACGCTCTCGGCCACCTTGTTCAGGCTTGTGCTCGGCGCCGGTGCGCCTTTGACAATCTGGTCGAGTGTTTGCGGCGCCATCAATTAGTCTGTGGGTGCGTTTGGCAATGACATGTGAATGCGACACTGGCGACGACTACGAAGATGGTAGTGATGCGGGTATGCTATGCGTGACTCGTGCCTGTCTTCTTCTCCTCTCTGTCATCATCAGACGGGTCGCGTACACGTTCAGAAGAATGCGCAACGCGTTGGGAGGGGTACTCGTGCCTATATCGAATGCTGTGTATCCGGCGCGAGTCGGTCAGTCGCTCCCGATGATGCACCTGTCTCGCTTAGCCGGAGCGGTGAAGACATGGATTGCTGGCATACAGCTCTACCCCACAATGCTAGCTTCGTATAGGCAGGCTCCTTCACTGAGATGGCTGACACGTCCTTGGCCCTGCAGTAGTCAACGATGTCAACGGGACGGAGCGGGGGTGAAATATGCAGGGGCTCATGTGAGATCGTCTCGCGGAAGTGAGGGGTCCCATTCACCCATGCAAACCGAACAGATGGGTCGGTCAAGGTGTGAAGGGGATACTGAATTGTGGGTGGAAGAATGCCCATTGTTGAAGAGGCCCTATACTGAAATGTAGTGGTATGATCCGACATGCCCAAAATCGCAACGCTATACAGAAACCAAACGCCAAATAATGCAATCCTTCTAACACGCAGACATCTATGCATGACCCCGCCCTTGCTCTCTGCGTCTAACTTCGTTCATCTCTTCCAACATTACGCGATTGAACTGCTCCCAACCATCCAGGTATACATGGTGACCGGCCTTGTTGATGATGATCACCTTGCCTACCCCATGGTCGTTCTTCTTCTCCTCAGCCGATGCGTTTGCTAGTAGGCGCTCGCGTTCTTGCTTCATCTTCTCTTCAGCCGCATATCCACCAGCCACGTCCATCCAGTCGTTCTCTCCGTACATGAAGATGACTGGATAGCCAGTCTCGCGTTGCGTAGTAGAACTAGCTGCGGCGTCGCCATCTGCGGTAGGCCTTTCGTGTGGTTGGATATATTGCCTGCCAACAGCCTGGATTCTGCGGATCATTGGGCTGCGAGCGAAAGCGCCAGGGGCGAGCAGATAGGAAAGCGCATACTCGGAACTACCCCGTTGGCGGAATAGAGCGTAGCTGTAGTCGTGCAGCGCCTGTGCCTCCTCTTCTGGTAATTGCGAGAAGCGGCGTGAGGTCCAGCCTGATACCAGACGAGGACCGAGAGGCCCGGACCAACGTACAAAAGTAAAGGGCGAGACCATGTTGGCCTCCCAGAGAGAATACAGCCACCACGGCAATCGCCTCTTTGGTGCTTGCTTAGCCTCTTTTGTGGTGTCGGCTATGGAATGTTAGCGAGATGCAACAACTCTGCTACTGAACAACGTACCATTCTTTGTCCGCTGGTTCATGAAGTTGTTGTTGTCCGCTGTCGATGGCTGTACACCATTCTGGTTCGTCTCGGCAGCATCTTGAGTAAACTCATTCGCCATGGTCGAGTCTTGTGGATCAGGCATCTCCTCGTCGACTGCGTACGGGTCTTCTGGAATGCCAACCGGAGACGCAAGAATCAGCTTGTTAAGATGTCCCGGGTACTTGAGCGCATAAGCAACAGCCAGGTACCCTCCTAAGCTATGTCCTAGCAATGTGAACTTGTCCAAGCCCCTCTTTATCCGCCACTCCTCCAGAGCATCCACAAACCACGACTCGGTCTCTGAGATCTTGCCCTCCTTGTCTTTGGCATGGATCTTGAAGGTTGGCCGGCTGCTCCGGCCCATACCTAGAAGGTCCAGCGCAAAGACTTTCCAGCCCTCGGCACGCGATAATGACTCGAAATTGCGATAGAAGAAGCCAAGTCCAGCACCGTACCCGTGGAGCATAACCAAGTTGTTCTCCACCTCTTCGCCCAGTCGCTCCACGGAGAACTCGTTCAGTGCACGATCCCTGCCACTTAGCTGAACCATTTGCGAATTCCATCTTCGCGGTCCGTACGGGTCGTTGGTGGCATTGGTGGTCGTCTGGTCTTCGGGATGCTTGGGCGGCGCTTGAAGGTCTACCGAGGACGGACCAGCCGAAGCAGGCGCGGAGCCTGTTTGCGTATGTGTGGGCGGGCTCTGGAGATGTGGAATGTAGGATAGAACGCGATGCTCGGTTCTAAAGGTCGGCACAAGTCAGTACATATGTGGAATACACTTGTTACAGGGCACTACTCACGCCATAGGCGATAGTCCCGCCCACCACTGGTCGAAGCCCGATTTGGCAGACAGAGGGAACCACTTGGAGAACCTCCCCTGTGCCTCTCCCTGCTCCTTTGCGCGTTGGCTCGCCAGCATAGCCTGCTGACCGCCCTGCCTTGCCTCTTCGCCATCGTGTCCTGCCATTGTCGAATTCGCTTTGCTCTCAATTCTAATCGGCGTACTTAGGCTCAAACTGATGTAGCTTGCGCCACCAAATCCCACGCTCTTGTGTATGACGCTTCGGGCGCTGGGTCGGGCTAGGTAACTTCGAAGCATTCGCAGGCGCGCAGAAAGCAGCGACGAGTGGGATGCGCGGAAGAAAGAACGCGGAAAATGCTGTGGAGGTGGAATGGTGGCGGTATTTGGTCGTGTCGCAGAGCGCCCTTGAAGGCGCCGCCTGCGACGAATTTGTTTTGGTACGAGATGTTGACGTAGCCTCTGGACGAGTTACGGTGGCGGAAACGCGATTGTGACGCGGAGATAAGAAAGCCGACGTTTACTGCGCGTGTCGGACAAGTAATCTGGCCGTCCCCGATGCAATGGAACACGAACGAATACGCGGGATGGAGATAGATTCAAGTTTACCATTTCAGCATTGGGGAGTTGCGCCTGATATGCCTACCCACTACCCCACTACATTGCTTCATACATCGCCGCCGCATACTGACGCCCTTTGACCTATCACATGCCCCAGACCCACCTCGTGATTTGCATGCCTGACCTCGAATCCCATCATCCCAATGTCACCGCTTTCATCGCCTTCACCACCTACGCTAATCTCACCGGCATGCTAACCTCATTGTGATAATCAAATTTGTTCATTGTCATGTATCGTTAATTCGTGTCAAATGCTATGCCGCCAACTCCGTCCCAAATGCAAATGTCCTGCATGCATAGTAATAATAGTGTACATTCGACGTCTTACGTCCTTGAGGTTTTAGCCCTGTACTGAGCTTTTCGATCCGACGCAATCCTCATCTTCTTCACATGCCCATCGTGGGAGGAAAAGCGTCTTGTAAGTGCTGCGTCGCAGCCTGTAGCCGCTATGTTGAGGCCTTGCGATTTCGAGATTCCTGTGGCTGTGGTTTGTTCGTGTTGACGTTCATCCGCTCAAACCCGCTGGCTGGTCTTCGAGTTCTACGTCTTCTCGACGTGGCGTCAGGACACCGTCAGTCAGATCGGACTAGCCGCGGCTGCGTCGTCATGGTTTCGCTGGTCATGATAATCCCCGTGTGAGGATTTGCCAACGACAAGGTTTGCAATCATCGCTTTGCATTGAATCCTCACACAAATGGCTTGGGCTCTTGGGCATAAGTGATAGTGTTGGCACTGACGACGCTGTTCAAACTCATACGCGTGTTCCGGGGGTCGACTCCGCTACCAGGCCTTTGCTGCTTCTGCAGACGTCCGCTGTTGCTTGAGCTTCCTGTGTCGGTCCTGTACTGGCCAGAAAATGGTCGTTGTGGTGGTGCCACACCGGGCTTTTCGTATAGTGTCTCTTCGCTCATCGGCGCTTGGTTCAATACACTTTGGGGTTCTGGGCGGCGCTTTCGCTTGATGCAGCAGCAGTTACGGTCGTATGGGTAGGCCCAGAACAGATAGCAAACAGCCCAGATCAAGACAATGCACGGTACGATTCCAAGACACACGATGAGGGCGATGGCTGTTCCCGAGATTCCACCGCTACCACTGGAGTCTTCCAAGAAGCGTGCTTGGAGGTGGGCGATAGCAGGCATGTTTGTTGTGAGAGTATTGTTCGGTAGAGTGAGGGTTCGATGTTTGGTTTGGCGGCGAGAGTTTTGGTCTTATGCGTGATGTCAATGCTAAGAAGAAGTCACAGTCGAAAGAAGTCAAGAGATACAGAAGCGACTAGGGTGGATTGGACACGGAGGGTGGTGAAGCGACAGTTGGACGCGGGGGCGTCTGGAACGATGAACAGGTACTGAAACGCAAAGGATGACAGTTGCCGGTGAAGCGCTTTGTATGCGGGTCTGGATGAGCCACCCGTGGAGACGTCATGGGCAGTGGAGAATGGACTGACGCACATGGCCGCTATGCCGAGAAGTCAGAACTCGTGGCGTTTGCGCGTTCACGCACTAAAGTTACGCTACAACTCTTGGTGCGAAGCCGACTCCCATTAGTCTTTCTTTTCACAGATGCTCCTGAGGGTGTGATGTGGTCCATGAATGAACCGTTCATTGGAATTCGTCAGCTATCCTGATTTACCCACCTGATACTGAGGCGACCAGGAACCTGAGACCGTTCCTGATCTCCAGGGGCTGCATCGGATGCTTCACAGAAGGCTGCACAGCCTACAACTCATGCCGTATCAGCCGTAAGGCCGAAAACCTGAAGGATCGTGAGCGCTACAGGCGACCAAGTCATTGACGTGTTGTGTCCTAATATGAAGCGTTAGCCCTGTTTCCAGCTAGCGGGACCGGAAGGCGCGGCGATGACCGCATGGGTGTGAGGCTAGCCTGGTCCCGATCACCACGTGTGGGGTAGACGTCTGCATTGCGTGAAATCAGGATCTTCCTGAGCACACTGCCATTGGCCTGAGGCTCTATGCAATGCGCTCCATGGAGTCGTTGAAGCCAGGAAATGAAGGGTGCAAGAGTGTATCGACCTCGTTAGACGGATGTGGGGCAACCCGATTTCATCTGACAATAGGCGAAACGCGCAATCTGCAAGCGCCGACCTTCAGGGATCAAACTGTCAGGACGAGTACGTACCGCCGTGCTTAGCAATCGTTTTTGAGATGCTGCGCGAATTGCTCTGCCAAACCTCTTGTCTACCGGCTTCGCCCAAATCTACGACCTCAAGACTCTTGAGATTGTCTTCATTAGGACTCGCGTCCTTTGCGGCCCGAAGTGTCGATTGGAACAGCGACTCCGTTTCGTGCCATGGCATAGTCTGGTCACTCTCGGCGTGAACGAGGACCAACTTGAACCTCGAGCAAGTCCCTGGCCAAGTCATCAGTATCGGAACAGACGGATCTGAGGAAATTTGAACATCTGAAAACTCCTGAGATAGTCCCACAATATTATGGGCTTTGATCAACTTACGCGCCATTATTGCCAGTCGGTCATCGCTTCGCCAAGTGTCTACCATCCTACGGGCAAACCAGGCTCGGAAGGCAGGGAATACCTTTACAGGCGCAAGAACCGGAACAATTCCACCGATTGAATACGAAGAGAATGCGTTGCCAGCATTCGTGAAGGCTGCACACAAGATCAGGCCTGCAAACTCAATGCCGAGATTGGTCGCATAACGGTGTGCGATGCCGGATACGACCGCCGTTCCCAGTGAGTGTCCGAGGAGCACAATCCGCTCTGGCGGTATAAGACAGGTGTTCAAAGCCCAGTCAACTACAGCCTCTGCATCGTTCAGTAAGCCACTCTCCGAGGGGTCGCCTGTTGAGATGCCGAAGCCGCGATAGTCGAATGCTAAGACGAACATCTTCTCAGACGCCCCAGCAGAGTACGAGCGATACTCTATTGTACGGCGCTCTTGTGCCAACGTAGCAGAGTTGCCATGGAAATAGATGAGGAGTCTTGCTTCTGGATCGTCACGCAGCAATCTCCATGCAAGCGTATGCTCTACATCGGTGCCTGTCTTCTCTTGTATGAAGGCGTCGGAATTTCTAGCATATACCCCCAATGGAGCTATTAGCCATGCGAAAAGCCGCTCTCCGTCTTTTGAGGTGATGCGGAAGGGGACGACCTGGTTTTCTGACTGCATAAGCCCAAGAAACCTTGCGGCACGATATCCTGTGATGGAGGACGAGGGGAGCCGACGTACTCAGAAATCCCGCTCTCTCGGGCTGTACCAACCATTTGCCTGGGAAGAAGGTGAAATTATGGAGATAAAGCATTTCTGGCATGATTAGCGTTGGCCTGATTTACTTAATCGTCAGGTGCTTTCTAACGTTTTTGAACCCATGGCAAGCAACATAGCAGTGTGGCCGGGACCCATATTAAACTAAGAAAAGACAGAGTCGTGCCGATGGAACTGGAGATGCTCATGATGGAGTTGGTCGTGTGTTTGATGGCGGACGCGATTTGCATCAGGAGACGAGCGGGAAAACTAGCGCGTCGTCCATAATCGCTCGCAATTACTGCCCGCTCAGCCGCGCAACCAAACTCTGGGCATAGAAGTTCGTCCTTTTCGCGACCTTTCTTGAAAGCAAAACGGTGTTGCTAGCGACTTCGCATTGGAGCATATGTATTAGATGCGATAGGTCGCTGATTCGGTTGTTTGTTGGCTGAGGGGTAGTGGTCAGCGGGCATGCAGCTTCACGGCCAACCGCGGCGTTTAGTCAAGTGCCCTGATCGCGACTGCAACACCACTTCAAAAGCACCAACACCAACGTCCACGTTGAAGTCCTCGAACGCGCCTGGTTCCAAATCGTATTTATGTGCTCAAATAGCGACTCAAAATTCTGGCTCTATTTCTGGTTCCGCCTAATATCTCTCTGCGCGACACAATAACAGTATCGGAATCTGCAATTACAACGAGGGCGAATCACGATATGAGCACAGATGCGGACAGGACTGTAGAAAATTGGAATCCCAAGACCTACTACTATTATGTATTGCACACAAGTATTCGAGTGCTGAGAGCAAACCCCCCACATAGACCAGACTTGAATGCAGAAATTTCCCAGACGAAAGTCACTTCTGTGGTCAACGTTACAGCGCTGCAACGTTTGGCACGATTATGTGGGGGTTTTGACCTTGGTGGACCTATCATCAGAGCTTCTGGTGATATGTTCGACTAATGAGGACTCGTGTTCACATATACTTACGCTTGTTGGCCAGCGCTCGGGTCAAACCTGGTGAGAAATCCTTCTGGATATCCTCTAGCTCTGATGGTCTCAGGCCTTCTTTACGCCAATCCAAAACCTGGTAAGATTTAGGACGCATAGGTATCTCAGGTTCTGAAGACTGGTCTGGAGGTAAAGCAGCCTCAGTATACGCGCTGGGATGACGGGCAACATTCAACCGCTGGTCTGCCAGGTTGACAATGCTTAAAGCGCGATGCGTTTCGGAGTCCGTGGCAGATACGCGCTTCAGGGCTAATTCGGCTTCCTTGTACTCTCTAGACTCTAGCGTAGCTGGAGCTGTTGGAATGGTACGTTCCTTGTCACGAGCGTTGTGCGGATCGTGATTAGTAACTGCGTGCTCGGCGTATGGGTTTGGCTCACACGACTCTTTGCGAACAGGGCCGCGCATGTTGGCAATATCCGGTGTCCAGATGTCGCTGAAGACACGCGATCCTTTGCCATCAGTACGAACAGGGTCTATATCGTGAGAGTACATGGAAGAAGTTGGGTACGGAGAGTTGCGAGTTGCATACAGATTAACAGCATTGTATCTAGTCTGTGGGAGCAGAGCCGTAGTACGACGAGAAGGTTCCGGGTTATTGATGGGCGCATCCGGATCGACAGTGAAGAATCGATCAACACCATCATCAGGCAACGGATCCGGGGTATGAATTGGCGACTTGTCTTTACGTGAGACTTTGGCTCTAGCTTTTTGGAAGAGCGTCGGCTTCTTGTCGGTTTCGAACTGATCTGGAGTAGGAGCACGAGACATTTCATGTGCAACAAATCCCAGTTCGACATCGAGATTCGAAGAAGGATTGCTGGCCGAAGCAGCCTTGTTCAGCGTATCGCGTCTCCAAACCATCTGGGGCGTGATAGGCTTCAGCTCCCCGGACTTCCACTTACGAAGCTGCTGCTGCAGGTCACGACAATGGAGACACTCACCTTCAAAACGTAGATAGACCAAGTACGCAACCATAGCGATCTGTAGTACAGCAAGAGTAATAATTGCAGCGAGGGAAACGTACGCAAAAGTATCGTTGAATTTTGGCTTTGGAGCAACGGCTATGGCGGTCTCTGAGGAGGCTGGTAACGACGTTTGAGAGGGAGCAACCATTGACGAGGTCGAGATGGTAGACTGTAGCACATTGCTGCGCAGAGCAGCTGAAGAGCTGGTAGCTGTTGTCGTCGCTAATGTCGACGTCGAAGACACGGACGGCGTGATCGTAGCTTGGACGAAATCCGTGGCGTATACAGTTGTGAACTGAGTAACTAGGACCATCGTTATGTTTGCTCTAGTTTCTGAAACTCAACTGCGGCTTTGTTGTGCGATAAATTGTCTTGTCTGGGTAGACTTTTGCGTTGTCACTCTCTTGCTTTGTGGACCTCTCGCACTTTATTGGTGTAGTATGGGAGACGAACATTATAGGCGGCCCATCGGTACATTGTCGAAGTGCACGTCATAGTGCGCTTACAATGCGTATAGTGTAGCTACGCAACAGATGGCGCACAGTGACTTTCTATTATTATCTAAGATGGATATGGCAGCTGCCTTACTTGCTATCACGAGGTTACGGTGTGTGAAGGGTCATGCGTATTGTTACTACCTAGGTACCTTTCGAGATTGTCTACTGTCTGACTCAAGTGCTCCTATGGCCAGTCACATATCCGGCAGGCGGACTCTATAGCCATTGATCGTTGTCACCGATTCCAGCTAAAACGTTTCTCCCATCTCAACAAGGATGTCTGCTGAGTTGTCGAGATGCAGGATAGAAGGAAGTTTGGTGAACGTCGAAAAAGGAATATCACCAGGCACGAGCCTTTGGTTCGGACACAACCGTATCAGGGCCACGTAAATAAGTGGGAACCCGATACTAAAACGTCTTGATGCATGGCTAAGGTTCCATTGTGCCTGAATTCGGCCCCTACCATGGTTAGCTTGCAGGTTTACCCACTAATCAACTTGACTATCTAATTGAATCTCAAAACGGACAACAACTTTCGGAGTTCTGGCATTTAGGTCAGATCGACTAGAACAGGTGGTCAAATGTAACACAACCATGTGAGGAATCACCAAGCTAAAATATAGGATTATCATCTCGTCTAATCCTGCTTGAATAATGATCTGATCTGATCAATACATTCAATTGTATTCCGTGATTGAGTCTTTTTGCTCCCACCAAGACACACAAGCGCACTCATTACTTCCTTCCTACATGAGCTACTTCTTAGCCTACATATGCTTCGACTCCACATGCTCCTCGTGAGATATTGAACCTTGCTTGGCAGCGACTTCCTCGACACGACGCTCGAGGTCGGTGGGAAAGTCATTCTTGTTCATGCCTGGCACGAAGAGAGGAGCGTTGGTAAAGAGGTAGTTCATCTCCTCTAGTGGTCGCTTGGCAGTCTCGGGTAAGAAGCAGTAGAAGAAGATGGCGTTGGTCAAGTTACAGATCTGTGGAGTTGGTCAGTAGTTGGACATGATAGTCTTGAGTATTCAGGTAAGACTTACGACAAACAGTAGGTAAAATTTCCATCCACCAGTTTCCATACCCGGCTTGGTGACCTGTCCAATCATGGTGTTGAACGCAAAGGATGTCATTGTAGCGATGGAGACACCCTTGGAACGCGTCTTAGTATCGAAGATTTCGGCAGGAATGATCCAAGATAAAGGTCCACAGGTAGAGCTGAAACAGAAGTTGTACAGCCAAGTAACAGCAATGAAGCCCCAAGAAGCACTCTTGTTTCCTGTGGATCCAGGAGGGAAGACTGCCAGCATGATAGTAGCAACGATGAAGGTCAGACAGTTACCAAGGTTACCGCCGATCAGTGTCCAACGGCGTCCCAGGCGATCGATAAAGGCAATGCAGAGTGCCTGACCGCAAAGAGCAAGAACAGAAGAGATGGCCTGGTATTTGAGCGCATCAGTACCGCTGATACCCATCTTTTCGTAGATGGTGACGGAGTAGTACTGAATAGCCGAGACACCAGTCATCTGGACCGAAGCTTGGAGAGCGCAAGCAAGGAAGAGACGGCGGAAACTTGACTTGTCGCGGAAGAGTTCAAGGTAAGACTCAGCCTCGTTCTCGCGCTGGAAGGTGATAGCTTCTTGGATTTGTTGGAATTCAGCCTGGACCCAAGCATCGTTCTCGTCGCCGTGGGAATGTAGCTTAGCCAAGTTGCGCAGACCCTCATCTGTCCTTCCTTTGCTCATGAGCCATCTGGGCGACTCAGGGAACACCATGATCAGGGCAGCCAAAAAGACGGCAGGTACAACCTGAATACCAAGTGAGGTGCGCCATTGCCCGTCGTTGTCGTCGGCAAATCCGATATCAACTCCGTAACTGATCCAGGCGGCGGCCAGGGCACCGATACCCAGCATAAACTGCACCAATCCACCGATACGTCCACGGATGCTGGGATGAGCCAATTCGGATTGGTAAAGCGGAACAATCATGACCAGGAAACCAACACCAACACCAGCGAGGATGCGTCCTGCGTAGAGGTAGCCGAGGTTCTGGGCGCCAGTCTGTAACGAACCACCGAGCATGAAGATCTGCGTAGAGTACTCGTTAGCCGGGTTGAGGACAGCCGTTTTTGGGGACTACGTACAACAGCACCAGTCAGGATGGTCAATCGTCGACCGAGCCAGTCACCAAGAGGACCAGCGAAGGCGGCTCCAAAGAACGCACCACCTGTGAAGACAGACACAACCGCGCCAGTCTCATTGTCGCTGGGCTCATTGAACTTGCTCTTGAAAGCCGCGGAGGCAATGACCTGGGCAATGACACCGAGATCGTAACCGTAGAGCAGCGAACCAAGGGATGCAAACAGACCCACGAGGAACTGGTATACTTTGGGAGGAAGCGCCATGGCGACTGCAGGCGATGTTGACAGCTGCAGTGGTGAGGGAGATGCGATGCGTGAAGAGACCCACTATCAGCAGCATGCTGGGCCTTTATACTTGATGCTCTAATTTTCCATGCCTGGCTGAATGGCCTTGCCCTTGTTGCACTGTCGCATGGCTGACCACGGTCTGGGGAACGCATCAGACGAGGATACTCCACAGTCTCCGCAAAGAGCGGGGACACTGACTCGCCTCCGCGTCTATTACCTCCGCAACCCGCCTCTTCATCCTTGCTTCACCAACCATCGGCGTCAACACCGAGGCAGCGGCACTTGCTCGGTTGATCGTAGCCCGACTTGTCATTTTACCGCCAACGCGATAACGTTAGCACGTGCATAGTACACATGCATATGCGAGATGCGCTACCTTTCAACTGGTGGAATGCTTCTTGGCTCCCCGTGACTTGGCACGGTTGTTTAACTGCAAACAACAGTAGTGTGGCGTGCGTCCGGAATGAGATAAGTTAGTGTACGCTGCTGAAATTCCACGAATGGGAAAATGCGTCAGCGTCGGATGCATCAGCCAGTTTGGTGCTGGCACCGGTGCCGAGCCGGAATGTTGCAGGAACGCCATGGAGCTTTCAACGACGTCGAGAAAGTCATGCCACTACCATCGTGACATTTGATCTTGAGTTTGGAATCCTCCTCTGATAATCCAGACAAAATCATTTCACAAACATAGTCGTCCCCTCTCATCAACACCATGGCAACCTTTACCAAGATTGAAGAGAGCGAAACGCCCTCCATCACTATTCATCCTTCCCACAAGATTGCTAAGATCAACGACAACATCTATGGAGGATTTACCGAGTAAGTTCAGGATAGACGCCCTTCGGATGGCGTTGTGTGTGCATGCTTTTTCTCGGCTAACCAACCACGCACCAGGCACATGGGCCGCTGCATCTACGGCGGCATATATGACCCCGGCAATTCTTTGTCAGATGAGCGAGGCTTTCGCAAAGACGTCATTGAAGCCTTTAAGGAACTCAATGTGCCAGTAGTACGGTATCCAGGCGGCAATTTTGTGGCCACTTACCATTGGCTTGATGGTGTTGGACCTAAGGAGAATAGGCCAAAGAGGTAAGATTTCTACGCGGATTTGCTAGTGCGTGGCGTGCTCTGGTCTGCACACCTGCCTTACAGCATGCAGCCTCGGTCTGGAGTGCATCTATTGCTTGTTGCGTCGGCGTCAGATGCTTATTCATGTGACATCGAATCGAGCCATCATTCCTTCAACATGTTGAACACGAAAAGCTAATCACGAGTCTAGGCCTGAGCTTGCATGGATTGGCATCGAGCCCAACACATTCGGCACAGATGAGTTTATGCAGTGGTGTGAGGAAGTCGGCACAGAACCTTACCTTTGCCTTAACTTTGGAACTGGCACCTTAGACGAAGGTATGCGCAGCGCATTTGATCTAGCCATTTACAATCTGACTGGATATAGCACTTGGATGGCTTGAGTACTGCAACTCGGACCGTGACACATACTATGCCAACCTTCGTCGGAAGAATGGCCGCGAGAAGCCTTACAACGTACGTTCATTGACATCATACGTCCTAAACTCATGTTCTACAGCCATACTGACAGCCACATAGGTCAAGTACTGGGCTCTCGGTAATGAATGCTGGGGCCCGTGGCAAGTCGAGCAGATGACCAAAGAAGACTACGCCAAAAAGGCGTACCAGTGGGCCAAAGCTCTCAAGCTACTCGACCCTTCCATCACCACCATTCTTTGTGGTGAAACCGGATACTCTTCTTGGGACTACTATGTCCTCAACCAGTGCGTCAAATGGGATGTTCACGGTCTCAGTGGCGATACTACTAAGTCGCTGATCGACATGCACTCCATCCATATCTACACTGCCGACAAAGAACATCTTCCCAATGCGACAGCGCCTCGTGCGGCTGAACGGGCAGTACAAATGACAGCAAGCTTGATTGACCTTGCGCGCATTGAGAACAAAGTTCCGGAGACAGTACCCAGGCAAACTATCTGCTTTGATGAGTGGAACGTTTGGGATCCCGTCCGCGCCCCTGGTGAGCTTGGTGCTGAAGAGAAGTATACACTTTCCGATGCTCTCGCCGTGGCCAACTTCCTCAACGGTTTCATCCGCCAAGCAAAGGATATGGGAATGGCAACCGTTGCACAAAGTGTTAATGTCATCTCTCCATTGATGACAACCAAGGAAGGTCTTGTCAAGCAGACTTCTTGGTGGCCGTTGCTCCTCTTCTCCAAGTACATGCGCGGCCATACCATTGCGCTCAATGTTCGTGCCCCAGAATATACTGGCCGCACGAACCCCAGCTGGATCCGCAACACCATCGAGACGCCCTACCTGGATTGCAGCGCCACGCTCAGCGACGATGGTTTCATCAACCTTGCTGTTACCAATGTCAACGAGAAGCTGGACTTTGAGGTTGACATCCCTGGCCTGAAGGCCGACAAGGTCGAAGTGCACACTGTCACTGGTGACAACGTTGACGTGGTCAACACTGAAGGTGTGCAAAATGTTGGTATCAAGGAGAGTAGCTGGGATGGACAAGGCAAGTTCAAGTTTGGCAAACACTCTTTCACTCTGCTGAGGTGGAAGGCCTAAGTGTTCTGTGGCATGTAACGCGTGCATGATTGATGGGGTTCCGGGATGACTATAGACAAATAGATATATGACATGACCACGGCTGACACGGCAAAAATTCTTGATACGAAGTAAGCGTTGGGATTGACATTAAATTTCCAAGCACAATTTAGCCCTTACATACTATCTCACAATTCCCCTGTGTCCATGTACTTCTTTGCTACCATCAACCACCCATCTCGATATGCCCTCAAATCATCTGCATGTGTATATAGCAGATATGAGCCAAATATCACACCACCGGGGAACAGAACCATTGAAACGAAGTACAGCACCATACCCCACCACGCATTCTCGAGGCCCTTGCGCATAGCCTTCTCCTCGCTCGCTCTTGGGAAGCTTTCTTTCAGTACTTCTTTGCCTAAGAAATCGCAAAGGGGCTCCCAGCTCAAATCCTCATCGGTGTCAAGCTCCAGCAAGCGGTCTTTGGGTACCAGTAATCGAACAGTATCGTAATGCTTGTTAAAAGCTGCTTTCGCCGCAGGACCACCGTAGTTGTTATTACTGTGCGCCTGAAACACCGAGTGTACGAGTCGCATCAATGGAGCCAGCTGTGTGAGGTTGAGTTGTCGACAAATCGTGAAGAGTCGCCACGTATCAAGACACCATATGCTTTCTTGCATGCTCTGTTCCCAGTCTTCGTATTTCCTCTTTGTCAAGATGACTTTAGCGTCCGGATAGGCTTCTACCAATTGCGACGCAAATACACAGCCAGGTAGGTCCATAACAGCGTCGTAGTTGGCTAGAAGTTTGTCAAACTCTTCTTTGCCGTAGGGTTCCATCTTCCGTTGGTTTGCAGGCCGGTCTTGAGATGGTAACAGAGTGACGTTGACGGCCTCTTCCCATAGTGCAAGTTCGGATGGTTTGGCAAGAACGTCGCGCATCTGATGTGAAGTATATCCTAGTTTGCGAAGCGCGATGGCGATGGATGTTGTCCCCGTGCGACACATGCCCAGGACTAGGACGCGCATGGGTTTCTGGCGAGTGCGCTCATCACGGTCGATCAGCCTCTGCGTAGACATTGTTGGTGTAATCTGCGACAGACTCGTGTTTCCCTTATTGGTTCGAGTAGTTGTTGTAATCGTCAGGTAAAGATACGTTTCTTGAAAGTCGACGATGTAGAGGCGTGGTGATGCATTAGGCTAATAAGCGGGCGACCGGGTGAACAGGGCCGCAGGTGCGAACCGCAGGCTTGGAACGGCCAATCCTCTGCATGATATGCAGGGCAATGCGAACCGAGCATGGAAGTCGCTTGCAATATTTCATGTCGAGGCTCCACTCCGCAACTCTGCTTCCCAGTTTGATAGGAAAGTGCTGGTGAGGTGGTGCAGCTCCAATGTGCTCGACGATTCTGGGTCCTCCATGTAGCGTATCTCGTACCCTCTGTTTGCCCACTTGGCTGCTGTCGCCCAATCTTCCGCTCTGGCGTGGCTTATGGCTGCGATCCTGTAGGCTTTGGCGTAGTAATCGGCAAGGCCCTCGTCTTGTACGAGTTGGGCGAGCTGCACGCTCACTGCAGCATCTTTTCGCGCCTGGCGTTTCCCAGCCTTGGACTGCGGAGCCGCGAGAACGAGTTGAGGCTCGAACTTTGTGAATGCGTTCTTGATCGTGACTCGGCGATTGTCGCTGGCTTGTTGAGCGGCACGCTCCTGTGCGCATGCTTCGCAATGGCACTTGAATCCGAACCGATCAAGCTGCCTTTGGCGGTCTTCCTGGCTGAGCAGTAGGGAGATGTAAGACACAAAAAACTCTTCCCCTGCTTTTATCTTGCGTGTCGCGTACACGATGCGCTTATTCAGCCTTTCGCTCCAGTAGTAGCTCGTATTTGGTCGGCACGAGTGGTTGATGCGAGCGATCTTTGGGAACAGGCCGACTTGATTCCCGGTGTTATAAGCATTGTTGCGGAAGATGGTACCTAGAGCATCCGTGCTCTTCTGGTCCACAGTGTTGGATTCATGTGTCAACGACAGAATCTCCTCTTTTGCATCGAGTGGAAGTGTGTCAAACTGCTCATGAAGTAGCTTCGCCACTGCAGCCATGGGATATGGGCTTCCTTTGGCGAGCTTTGGTAAGCGGATCTTGAGAACGGGTGTCTCGCGCATGACGATATCGCCAATCTCCATATCATGAGTAGCGAAAGCTCCCAGGCCTTTTCCCTCACTGGCTTCGATAACATAGATTTGCGGCGGCCCGAGGCAAATGGGATGCTGAACGTGCCTTGCGGAATCGGAAGGGCATTTTGTTGGGTATGCAAGAATTGACGGAGAAACAGACAGAAGGACGTAGATGACATGGGAAAGCATGATGAGGAGTGCTAGGACGCGAGCAGCAGATGACAACTCGGATATGATGACGGCGTACCTGAGACTATCTATACAGAAGCACGGTGTGAAACGCGTTTCATACTGATGTCTCGTAGTGCCGCCCTCCTGCAGCGACGGTGCCGGAGTCGCGATTCTGAGGTGAAAACCATCTTGAGTGCCTGCAAAGTTTGCTGTTGACACGATGACTGAAGTTGTTCAATGTGGCTGCCGAGTGAAGTGAAGAAACGATGATGGTGTTTTGGCCATCGATTGGCTTCTCCACAGGGCGGAATGGAGCCGCGACGCAATCAAACGCGAAAATGCGCGGTCTGGCAAGCTCCATCATCATCTGCACCTGCCTAGATGTATCACGACGCGCATCTCTTGCTGATTTTCTTGCACCAGGGAGATGATGTGACGTCGCTATTGAGCCGTTAACAGCCGATACCGCCCTTCAGACTGCCGATAACGAGTTGGCATGCCGTCAACCCCAACCGTGACAGCAACTTCCCCGCGTCCTAGTGGGGCCGCTGTCCATTCGGTGCCCTATTCCACGATAACAGCCATGGGGTATACAATACTCCGACGCACGCCGTCATCGGAGTGGTCCACACATGTGCCCTGAAGGCAGCTCCGAGCCTGACATCTAATACATGCCAACATAGGTCCTGCAAACATCATGGTGTGAGTACAGCGTGTGTACGCATATACAGGCTCACCCCATACTGACTATCTGCAGCTACACAGCATCTTTCGCTTTCTTCGAGGCGCTCTGGGAGTACGGCGTCAGCCATGTCTTCGTCAACCTCGGGTCGGACCATCCCTCTATCATCGAAGCTATCGTCAAGGGCCAAAACGAGAAGAAAGGACAGTTCCCCAAGATCATCACATGTCCCAATGAGGTAGGTGCCCCATGTTTATTTGGCTAAGCGCATAGACTGACTGGCGAGTGTAGATGGTCGCCCTCTCTATGGCAGACGGATATGCCAGACTGACGGGCAAACCTCAATGCGTCATCGTACACGTCGATGTTGGGACTCAAGGCCTCGGGGCCGCCGTACACAATGCCTCATGCGGTCGCGCACCTGTCCTCATATTCGCCGGCCTGTCGCCTTTCACCATCGAAGGCGAGATGCGCGGCAGCAGAACCGAATACATCCACTGGATACAAGACGTGCCGGACCAGAAGCAGATCGTGGCGCAGTATTGCCGATACACTGGCGAGATCAAGTCGGGCAAGAACGTCAAGCAGATGGTCAATCGGGCCTTGTCCTTTGCCATGAGCGATCCCAAGGGGCCTGTCTATCTCTATGGTGCCCGTGAGCCCATGGAAGAGGATCTGACACCCTACAAGCTGCAGATGGACTACTGGCAGCCCGTCGAGCCGGCTGCTCTTCCTCCAAAGGGCGTCAAGACGATTGCTGAAGCCCTAGTCAATGCTCAGGAGCCGCTCATCATCACTGGATACTCTGGTCGAAACCACGATGCAGTGCATGAGCTTGTGCGGTTGGCCGACAACGTCAAAGGCATACGCGTGCTAGACACTGGTGGATGTGACATGTGTTTCCCAGCGAACCACCCAGCTTGGCTTGGTCTACGATACGGTAATGACCCCGCCATCAAGTCTGCAGATGTCATTCTAGTTCTTGATTGCGACGTGCCGTGGATCAACACTCAATGTCATCCCAAAGAGAATGCCAAGATCCTTCATATCGATGTTGATCCCCTGAAACAGCAGATGCCCGTCTTCTACCTAAACGCCATACAACGCTACCGAGCTGACTCGTATACCTCATTGACCCAGCTGAACGAATACCTCGAGTCACAGCTCAAGGAAAAGCTTTCTAGCCAGCTCTTTAGTCAGCGGTGGTCAGCGCTGCAGGACTCGCACAAGAAGAAACTTGAAGGCATCGCTGGTGAGGCCAAGGTTGATGAGAACGGCCATTTTAGCACGCCATACCTGTGTTCCCAACTCAAGAAGCTCTGCCCGAATGACACCATCTGGGCCATCGAGGCCGTTACCCAGACTGGCTTTGTTGCGGATCAGATCCAAGCCACACTTCCAGGCTCATGGATAAATTGTGGTGGTGGAGGTCTTGGTTGGTCTGGAGGTGGCGCGCTTGGTGTCAAGCTCGCGACCGACACAGAAGGCAAGAAGCAATTTGTATGCCAGATTGTTGGCGACGGCACATACCTCTTCTCCGTCCCTGGATCAGTATACTGGATTGCGCAACGCTACAACATTCCCATCCTTACTGTCGTACTGAACAACAAGGGCTGGAACGCACCGCGAAGGTCTATGCTACTAGTACATCCCGACGGAGAGGGCTCCAAGGTCAGCAATGAAGAGCTCAATATCAGTTTCGCGCCGACTCCAGATTACTCAGGCATCGCCAAGGCGGCAAGCGGTGGGCACATTTGGGCTGCGCATGCGAGTACTGCGGACGAGCTTAGCAAACTACTTCCAGAAGCCATCAAGAGCGTACTCAGTGGAACATCAGCAGTTTTGGACGCGCACCTCGAGGGACCGGAGGGCAAATACGGAGGTGGTAAGGGTCGTCTGGGTTAAACTGAGCGTTGTTGATGACGTGCCCGTTACCTCGGGGAAGGTTGAGTTGATGCGTTGCAGGTATGGTGGTAAATATCAGAGACACATGCAAATACATCATTCTTCTACCTGTAAGGTTTCATGCAAACCACGTAGTGCTGACAGTATACAGCTTTCCAAACAGTACAATCGTGTTATTCGGGAGGCTGAGAGGCACTTTCGGGCCGAACCGTACCCTCGGCCGAGCAGTAGCTGGCCGAGCGTGGCTGCTACTCTGAGCTTACAGGCACTACCATACTGGAAAGCAGTCAGCCTCGAGAGACAAGACTCAGTGTACACTTGGCAGCCTGGATATCTTTTCCGAGCGTCGACGTGCCATACTATGGCTGCGGACAACGAGAGTTCTGAGATATATAAGTAACAATGAAACCTCAAAGTATAGATGGAGCATCAAACAAATCCTCACTATCGCCACAGCCCCCTCTTCATTGATCCATCATTTTGTCTTCCCGAAGATGCATCTCAGATCACCTTCCATGTACATGGCTCTCACCTTTATTGTAGGCGCAACGGCTGCGTCTATACCTTGCGATCCAGCCATGTCCTGTTCACCAGCTATGCCCCCAAATAACATGTCCATTGACAGTATCAACGCTACTGCTTTTGCGTTGATGGTAAGTAAACAGACACACTACACGACGACCAAGGTAGCTAATTGTTACAGTACGGATATCCTCTTACCTTGTACGCCCAAACTTTCGAGCCGACCCTCCAGGCAGTTGGCGTCAACGCTATCCAACACGAAGAAAGCCTATCCACCCAAGATCTCGAGGTCCTGGTCCGACCGAACGTCGACACACTGTACTCTAAAGCTGCAGTTGATCTTTCGCATGCGGATGTAGTACTGTCTCTCCCTGATGTTCCCGCGAACAGATATTACGTCGTTCCCTTCTATGACTTGTGAGTCACTCCCACTCAACTGGCTTCAATCATAGAGCCCTCAGCTGACTTTTGTTCGAACCTTTAGGTATGGGAACAACTTTGCCGACCTCGGGACTGTAATCAACAGTCCCCCGGGAGACTATCTTATCACGGTCGCGGGAGACGACGAGCCAGGCCTTCTAATGCTCGATAAAGACAACTATGGAGGCTCCAAGTACAAGGGAATCATCAAATCGCCCACTGCGTACGGAGGGATCATGCTTCGTATCGTGCTCAAAAATAACACAACCGACGTCGATGAAGTCAAAGCCATTCAATCTCAAATCAAGATGACGACAGTTGAGCGTGTGGGAGAGCCGATAGCCTCAGCTCTAACTCTTAGTCTTCTGGGTAATGGCCAAATTTCACCTGCTGCTTTCCTCCTTCCGTTCAACTTCAGCGTCGCTCAGACGACCCAGACTCTCCAGCTCTTAGCGCAGCTGAATGAAGCGAATCCACCCGTGGAAAGATCAGACCTGGATCGTGTCAACTCTATGCTTGCCGCCGCTGGCATCAACAATGGAAACTACACTGCTCCAGCTGGCCTCAACTATGCCCAAGTCTACGAAATCATGGGCAAAGAGTTCATGTCTCTCCTGGACCCCTCAAGCCATGCATTCAACCAAAACGGCTGGTTCACCCTCCTTCCCAGCATGAGCGGTAACTTCGGGATAGAGTACACCGCTCGCGCATACATCGCATGGTTTGGCTACCTGCAGCTCGCCGACTACGTAGCAGCATATCCTACCTACAACGATCCAGCGCTTCCCGTTACTGCGCAGGTTACGATGCAGCTAACAGCGAATGAATCATACATCATGACCTTCTCTGGGAAGCCGCCCGTTACCGGTTTCTGGAGCCTGACGGCATACGATAGCACGAATTACTTAGTACCGAACGATCTGAACCGATACGCATTGGGCGATCGTAGCAACTTGACCTATCCAGACGGTACGCTAATCTACGCGGATTTGGACAGCGACGGAGCGTTCTCGATCTTGATCCAGCCGGCGGATGTGGCACCGAGCTCGAACTGGACTAACAACTGGCTGCCTGCTCCCGTTGGCGGTGGAGAATTTACTGTGAATTGTAGGTTGCTATGGTGTTTTGACGATGAAGAGAGATATACTAACGAACAAATTTAGTGAGATGGTATGGAGTAACTCCGGCGCTTTCGAACGGAAGCTATGTGTATCCTATCGTTACCAAGCAGGGCAGTATCTACTAAGCGCTCGACCAGCATGATGTCAAGACTGAAACATCTACTGTATTCATGGGGATTCATGGATTGACTTAAGCATCTTGAAAAGCGAGAGATGGTCCTAGAGAGATTGCCAGCTTTCAGCATTTGCCCTTATCAGATTCACTCGTTTGAAAGACTGATGACCTGCAATCTTTCGTTCGCATAGTGGTAATCTCTGCATTCGCGATGGTTTCGATAGGAACATTCCGGTGTCTCATGAAGAAGAAAATGTTCCTGCTTTGCCTGTGTGTGAATTTGATGTGTATGAGCTCGGACATGTTATGGTCGGCAACCCACCTGAACAAAACATAATAATGCGAAGCCCTCGAATGCGAAATCCATTAAGATATCACACATCCTGATGTCGGGTACGGGGAACATATGAGTTGCCATTGCTGAAGACTCATGTCCACTATGATTGTATTCGTAATGCTGTGCTTCGAATTTGCCACGTGCGCTATCCAAACAGCGAAGCATGGATGCTAGTAATGAGCGTGTGGCAGAAGAAAAGAGGCGTGAAAAGCTTCACAGCTCAGATTGAAGACAAGCCTACATGACGGCGCATGACCCAGTCGACGTTTTGACATCTCTCGCGTGTTCGTCTAACAGCTCTTCCAAAGCCTCCGCTCTTGCGGTTCCAAAAGCTCCCTCCAGAATAGCCTGTCTTGTCAGATTCGGAATTTTGCTCACTAGCGCGCAGTTCTTATGGGCACCATGTTGAATCAGCAGTTCACAAGCTTGATACCATGCTTCTGTCAAGCTCGGCGGGATATTTGAACTTTTAGTGGTACCCGTCGCACGATTTGTAGACTCGTACATTGATAGAAGGAATAGGGCCCACACGGTTTTGCTGTTATTCGGATGCACGGCCTGGTTCGGATCTGCACCGTTCTCTAGCAACAACTCTATCATCTCGACGTTGACGCTAGGATCTTCCCGTTTAGAGTGATATGGCATGCTTACTGGGGTCGATCGGCGCGGTCGAAGCGCATAATCGAGTAGCGGCCGTCCGTGCTTTTGCATCTTGCTCGGTTCGGCCCTCAACTTCTCACGGACGTACTTGACGAGACGCGATTGTACTGCCAAAGCCAGGAAATTACAGCTATCACCCTCTCGATATACGTCCAGACCCCGCGCAGGTACTGAGTCACGGGCATGCGTCCAGTGATTTCTGATTCCACTTGCGTGGTGAGAATTAGTGCGGTCTACCTCATCGAGCACATCCACAAGAGGCACATCTGACGACTGATCCAAGCGTTCAGTCTCGTAAGCGTAGTACAATAACTCGTCCGTCAGACCGATGACTTGATTTATCGATTTAGGGCTCTTGAAGTCCATGATCGGTAATGATTTAAGCAAGACAAGACAGATCTTGCACAACGTAGCTGTAGCGCTGAACTCATTCTTGAGATTATCTCTCAACTGTTGGTGATAGTTGTCCTGCAAGAAGTCACGGACCGTTCGATGGAGGAAGTCGACTGGGTGACTAAGGAACAAGGGGTGTCTAGTGCCGATTTTGTGGTCAGTCAACGACTCCTCTATACATGACATAAATGGGGGGTCTTGTCACTGCTGCTCGAGTGTAATTGGAAATAACATTTACGTACAGTTCGTCGTTGACTACAAGGAGGTCGCTGCATCTGTTCTGGATAAGCGACTTCCATCGCGGATATTGGCCTAGTAGGTTCTCTTCAAATATAGGCTGTATTGGTGCTTTCACCGCGAAGCTATCGTCCAGGCGCTGTTTCTCAAGTAAGGAGAAGGCGTAAAGCGGGAGAGGTTGTAGCTCATCCACCGTAATCAGGAAGATTTGTGACATCTCCTCCAGATATTGAGGCCGGACCGATTGGATAATGCGTTCAAAATACGCTTCCAGGTCGGACGGGAATTGATTGACAATCTTCCACAATGTCGTGACTCCCTCATCTCGATTAATGGCGTGTTCGAGGTCACGGGTGATCAGAAAAACCCATAACCAGACGCCCTGTGCGAGCTCCGCAACACGCTTCATTAAATCTTCGCATGCGAACTCTGTTGTCTCCAGTCGCCGAAAATTCGCATTCTCATAAAGTCGAAGCCGAACATGTCTTCCCATGTCCATCTTCGTAAAGTTCGCGATATCAAATGTACGAGAAGTGTCACTGAAGAACTTCTCGAACACTGACCGAGGACGCGTAGAAGCACATATTTTGATGGCTTTCGAGGCAGAGAGGAATTTCAGAACTTCGACAATATCCTCCTCCGCTCCATTATACTCGTCCAAGCCATCCACAAAGAAGCAGAATCTGACTTCAAGGTCGGTTTGTGCAGCGATACGTTCGAAGACCGCTTTAAGTTCATCAGTTTCCCAGATCTCGTGCTCTGGCCTTTCTTGGCACACAATTGGTATTAACCTGGGTATTGCCTTGAGTATCTGGTAGAGCAGCGATTGGAAGATTCCAACCTGGCTCTTCTGCATTTCGTAGCCTTGGTTCCAGAAATAATAGCTGGCGGTGCAAAGTTGGGCTGGTCTAGCCCACTCTTCTAGAGTTTCCGTCGTGCGTCGATCCTCAGCGATGAACTTTTGTAACGTGGACTTTCCACTTCCTGCCTGTAAGATTCGATTATCAACATATATTCATCATCGTACGCGGCAATTTAATTAAACCTACCCGACCAGTAATACAAAATAAACCATCAGAATCCTTCTTGCTACCTAGCCAGTCATTGAATGGCGTGAGTGTATCATCAAACACCCAGGCATTCGAGGCCTCGTCCGCGTGTGGTATCTGGCTCCACCGTCTGCGAATGACTGGGAAGTATAAACTCCTAATCACTTTGTTCTGCTGAATGCATGCCTGGTGTTCCTTGGGAAGTACTTCGAATTTGGTCTTGAGGCTGGAAAGCTGTGCAATTCGCAAGGTGATCTCTTGAGCATCTATCTCACGAGGATCGATCTGGTAAGTATCTGCTTGTTGGGCTCCTGTTTGATGTACAATGTCAAGTATCTCATCCCGCAGGAGATCCATCTTCGCATCGTAATTGATGTTAAGACTTTGCTGCGCCCTCTTGATACTATCCAGCTCGGCGGATATGGCCGAGTGGTGCTCACTTATGCGGTCCGTCAGTATAGTTCAAGCAAAGGCGCGACACCTCACATCAGCGTCGGGAGATTTCTCGGTTTGCTTACCTTCGAATGACGTTTTCTATATGCCTTCGCAGCCTCTGATCCAGGCTGTCCAGCCTTCTCAGCAGGACCGCAATGTGATCCTTTTGTTTCCACCATCCCTGGAAAACAACACGACTGCTTTCCAATGTTTTCGAGCGTCCTTTACGCATATGTAGTTTTTTGATAGCCTTGCGTAGATCATTCGCTACCCTTTCGCACTGTCCGGCCATCTCCAATATCCGTTCCTCATCGTTTGTTAGCCGTCGGCCACCATCCTTCTGCTGTGTGATGAGTTTGTTGTAACGACTAACTTCATCTACGATCAATTCGAGCTCACGAACTTCAGCCGTAGTTCCGTGTAGCGAATCGCGCACATTACGCGCTTCGGAAGCGACCTTGAAGCCGAAATCAACAAACGAGATGATGTTAGACGCGAGGCCTACAATGGCTAGTGCCTCCGCCATTATGAAAGGAGAGTGGATGCGAGAAGGCAAAGGAAGCTTCAGGTAGGCATCGCAAGCTCAGCCTGCAATAGCTGAGATGGCAGCCTTCGATGGTGTTGCTGGCCTGATCATCGCTCAAAAGGGTATAGCTTTGTTGATGGTGGGGTAAGCGCTTAAGAAGGCTGAGAACCTGAAGCTGCAAACATCATTTGAACTGACAGCCACGGATTTGATGGGCTTCGCGACGTCGTTCATAACCAAGTTGAGAACAAGAAGATGAGTCTTTTGTAGGTGAAGGAGGCCGGTTCACAAGAGTACAGCCTCTGTCGAACGATCCCTGTTGCCTCAAGCTGACTAGCCTCAGAGTTATGTCCACAGAGGGTCGGCCTAGTCGCGTCGAGAATGTCGAAAATAACGAGCAGACATCGCTCTTAGGCGGAAACCTAGACAGTTGGACGCCCCTTTGGCAGCACGACAATGCATGGATCCGATTACCAGCACAGCTTACGCTGAGTCCTGCAAGATATCATGTACTGTTTTCAATGCTTTTTATCAGTACGGGAATACCCTTGTGTATCGGACTGAGCCGTAAAGAGCTTCCATGGCCTCTGCTTCTTCTCGACAGCTTTATTCTCATAGCATGGGCGATCTTCTCGCGCCTTGCATATAACTTAGATGACGAAGACATCTTCTGACCATAATGATTATATCAAGCACTTGCGTAAATGATTGCTGAGACAATGTCTCTCGTATGGCTGCATTCCAGAAAACATGTTGACCGATGTATGTTTCATCGATGACGACCTTCTGAGAGATATCTTGATGGTCAGGTAGAACCACATCATGGCTCGGCTTTTACATGATCGCATTATGCGCCAGTGATCGGATTCCTCTTAGCACAGCGCAAAGATATATGCTCCACGCTTTCATCGTGAACTGAACTCAGTCAAAGAATCCGGAGTTGCTCTAGAGCGACAAACGCGACGTCACTGCCGCATAGCGGCGTTGCATCTTCTTCCGCACTGCGGCACCCAGGTACTTTCCATCGTAATGATATATGGCGCGCGTGTGAAAGGTAAGAAGCGTTACCGGCCGCGGTCTTCTTCCAAGATAGCCTAAATGTATCTGCCAATACTCTTGTGGGCATACAAGACTATAAGACTAGCTAGAGATGCTGTTACAGCCGCCGGGAGCGGATTAAGCGACTTGTCGCCACGCCCTGTTGCACCATGTTCGACGGTCCATCCCGTAATATTATCGTTCTTTAGCGGCTCCTTCGCCTTGTCTGCATGTGGGCGGAGGCTGAGTCGGTACTTGGTATCTTGGGGCGGAAATGCTCATCCTGCAAAGCTTGGTTGTTTCGCCTGATACCCTGAATCTAGACACTCGGTTCCAGGGCTATTCGGCCTACGCTATAAATGCCTTTGTAGCTGCTCAGCAGACCACTATACATGATTATAACGGTATTCTGCATGCTATTATCGAATCGTAACATGTGCGTTGTGTATACTCACGTCTCTAGATGACGGACAGGTAAGGATTAAGAGCTTGGGGTGACTAAGTGTGTGGTCTAAAAAGGCATTCCGCTACGGGCACAGATATTCCACCGACCCGCTTTACCCCGCACACGCTACTAGCAACCGCTGATCTGTCAAGCTTCACCACCACACCGTCGATAACGGTCGTACTGCCAAGTTCCTTACATGCATCCTTCATGCGTTTTCTGCCTATAAAGAATCACGACCCCGGGTGCCAACTACGGGGTAAGGCTTGACCTTGTCCAACGCCAAGTGGACCCTTCCCCGGATTCGCTGCGATAATCCGAGAAATAGCTCGGAACAGCAAGTGTTGCGGTAAACATGGGACGATGGTAGTCCTCGTGCATTTCCCCGCGGGGTATGACTGTAATGATGGTGAGGTAGCATCAGAAGTATGGCTCGGCAATGATGCCTTCGAGACGAGGCATCGAGGATAAGAGGCAACTCACCCTTCGCTCGAGAGAATCATCACCCGGCTGAACTTTTGAACCCTGAATTCTGAATTTTACTTGACCGTTTCACGACCCATACCAATTATCACAAACGAATGGGCTGCTTCAACACTCATGCATCGGGTACTCTGGACCCGCCAGAGGTCCGCAATTGGCGGATCCACCTCATTGCACTCATCGCTTCGATGTCTGCACTAGCTAGTAGGTCTCGGTGAAGTGATTTGGGTGTGGAAATCTAACACATGAGTAGTGGGATATGACACAGCCGTCATCGGTGGGACTATGGCTCTCACCTCCTTCATTCGTGACTTCGGCATGAATGACATCGCAAAGAGCAACCGCGACACAATTCAGGGCAATATCGTCTCCACATTCCAGGTCAGTCTTGGTACCGCTAGCCCCCTGTCATCACAAACTGACAATAGGCAGGCGGGATGTTTTTTCGGGGCGCTTCTCGCTTTCCCTTTCGCCGAACGCATTGGGCGAAAAAAGACAATGATAATAGCTTCCACAGTGTTTCTACTCGGTGGCACACTCATGACTGCTTCTCAAGGCAGTCTCAATATGATCTATGGTGGACGAGCTGTAGCAGGTCTAGGCATTGGCGCATCGAGTATGGTCGTACCTGTCTACATTTCTGAAACTGCGCCACCTTCTATTCGTGGTAGACTGGTCGGTATCTTCGAGATTGCTTCCCAAGGTGGAGGTATGTTGGGCTTCTGGATCAACTATGCTTGTGATAGAACCATCAGTGTCGAAGGCAAGACGCAGTGGGTAGTACCTCTCGCGATCCAGCTCATTCCTGGTCTACTATTGCTTCTCGGTGTCGCATGGTGTCCAGAATCACCGCGATACCTCGCAAAGAAGGATAACTTCGAAGGAGCAGAACGTATCTTGTGTAAGATTCGCTGCCTGGACGGATCTCATGCGTATATTCAGCACGAGATGAGCGAGATTCGGGCGCAGGTCGAAGAGCGTAGCGCTAACCGTCAGAGCAAGAAGGCACAGTTTATGAAGCTGTTCCAGAAGGGTGTGCGAAACCGAATGGCCATTGGTCTTGCACTCATGTTCTTACAGTCATTCACAGGTGTAAGTATACGCAATACATATACCGGAATAGATGCTAAACTGTCCAGGTCAACATTATTACCTACTATGCACCTCGCATATTCGAAACACTTGGTATTTCCGGCACTTCGACCAAGCTATTCTCCACTGGCTTCTACGGTATCGCGAAGACACTCGGCATGTTCACCTTTACCTTCGTCGTTGTGGAAAAGGTTGGGCGTCGCAAGGGGCTTATTTGGGGGGCAGCGCTCGGTTGCATTCCTATGTGGTATATCGGTGGCTATGTCATGAAAGCCGATCCGGCTGGAGCTGCTTTGAGAGGCGATATTTCACGCGATGGTTGGGGTTACCTGGCAATGGTCTGCATTTACGTCAACGCCTTCATCATCTGCGCAACATGGCAAGGTATCACCTGGACCTACGCATCGGAAATCTTCCCTCTCGACATCCGCATGCTGTGCGTATCGCTAACAACCGCCGACACCTGGCTTGGTTCGTTCATCATCGCACGCAGCACGCCATACATGATCTCGGATCTTGGTTATGGCGCGTACTTCTTCTTTGCTACTATCCTCCTAATGATGGGTGTTTGGAGTTTCTTCTTTGTACCTGAGACGAAAGGTATCAGTCTTGAGGAGATGGACGCCCTGTTCCTGAGGCCTATGCACCAGGCTGTGTGGGCGCAGCTCCGCGGCAAGCCGATCTTGACCGAAGAGGAGGTCATCGCGAGAAACAAGGGTTTAGAGTCGGGACACGAGAAAAATGTTGGTGTGGAGAGGATCGAAGTCGTAAAGAGATAAGATCAATAAACGGCGATGAGGGGGCTCGATCAATGATGGTGGACTGGTTTGCCTCATTCCTTTTATCGCCGAAGAAGACGAGTAGACGCGCATGACCACATCCGCGGCATCCAATTTAAAAATCGTCTTCAATACCCTCGTCACCTATTTCTCTAAACTTCTTTCTTCGAACGTATTCCTACAACCAAGACTCATGTCGCCCAGCTTGATCCATTTTCTGCAGCTCTTGCCCAATGCAACCTCGACAACGAATCCTTTTCGATGTTCTGCGCCCATAACAACAACACATCCCTTCCTTCATACGCCTTTGCCGATACAGTATAATTTCTGGTCTGATCTGTCACTACCCACTTCGGATATGATGACATCACCAAAGGCCCATGGGTGAGTGTCCCTCTTGTCTCATTGCTTCCCTCCCATACCTGCAGAGGCCCTGCATAAGATAGCGTATGATGTCCAATAAGTGCCCACTCGGCGTCATTGTATTCATCGGCGGGAGCGGGGATGGCGCCGGGATCAGTGGACCACAGATTTACGGAGACATAGCCAAGAGGGTGATAGATGAGAATCCCCACAGGATGGTTTCCGAGACCGCCCGTGACACGATCAGTACCATTTAGATATTTCCTGGTGCGCTGTTAGAAAAGCACGCTATGCAGGCTTAGGGGAGCGGAATGTTACGATGTCTGGTTGAGAAATTGCCACGCACCTCCGAGTACTGCAGCGATGTTGTCCGGAAGTAGCATCGCGTGAAAGGCGGAGTACGAGTTGATGAGATAACAGCTATTCAGATAGCGGACGATGAGCAGTTCTTGAGTGTTGATAAGCACGACTTGCCGTAGCTATGGACGTGCACAACATCCTCATGAGACATTCATCGGTGAAAGATGGAGGGGTGACCTGTTTGTAATACAATTGATGACAATAGATTGGTATGTCAGCATATGGAGTCTATATCCCAGTAGCAAAGGCTGCTCTATTGCCCCAAACTGACCGAGGTGTTGTTGGGAAGATACCGACCATAACATAGGTTTCATCAATTTCCAGGCCCTCGGGATTGACATATCTCGTCTTACGCCCAATGTCTAATTGACACCTGGTTGGAGATTTTGCAAATGAGTTTTTAACACAATCGTGTCTTACATAGTTTCGTCATAATAGTGCATCGACTATTACTTCTTACCTCGTTCTAGTAATAAACGATATACTCTCCTCCTGTGCGTTGTTCCAGCGCATGATTGAGATCTGGGGTGGTTCGATGTTTGCAACGACGGCACCAGTGCCACGAACCGTGACAGATGCGATACTAGAAGAGCCTAGGGTTAAACTGAGATTTAGAGGTCTTGGGCCGTCATCGCTATCGACGCGAAGCTCTCAGGTACATGCAGCCTGCGGTCTGAACACTCTAGGTTCGCCAGAGCTCGTTTCAAGATCGCCAGGAATGATGCATAAAAAGAAAATGATTGAACACTTTCAATGTGAATAGTTTCTGGGCGACCAAAACAATATTCTCATAGCCTGTGATAAGAACTGAAGCAGAACGAATAAGTTAGATTACACCGATGAGGGGTGATAATTAATAGATCATGGAAGAAGGATGCAGCTGACGTAATTGGCGCTTCGCGTCGATCCGTGATTTCTCCTGCGAGACGACAAGAGATCTGCCCTGTTGCATTATGACTAGAACAACTCTAGTACACTTCAAGATACTGCAACCCTCCTTCTAGATAATGTCTGTTACGTGCGCTTGTAAAGATCCCAAAACAGCGACATGAGAATTCGAGAAACACCACGGCACCGACAGCGAAGGCACCTGATCGTGGGTGCTACCTAGGCAAGCTTGGATGATAAGCCTCGGCTCCTGTATTCAGCATGATGCCTCGTAGGCCAATGCTACGACTACGAAAATTGTAGTTCAGTGGACAAAATGCGGAGAAGCCGTTCAGTCCGTTTGGCATTTGCGGGCTCTTCCGAGCAACGATCGCGTACATCGTATCGCGGTATTGCCTAGGAAAAAGGCCCTTGAAAGTTGCCGAGGCACCCGGACGCGATGATTGGCCTAATGAACGGATGATCTGCGTCGAGCGGAGTGCTTGCGCAGTACCGAGGCAGCGTCTGCAAGCTGATTGGTAGCTGATTCGCATGAGGGACAGGCCGAAAGACTATCTTTGTAGACCGACTCAGTCTGTCAAAAAGGAGGCTGACTCTCGCGTCTATTTACGCCATCCGTCGATCCCAAGCCGCTCTAACTTCGGACATCCATCACAGACGAGTGACACTGTCCGGAAGAGCCACACAAAGGACCATTAGCAAACTCCCTGCCCTCGCTTCCTTTCTCATTCGAGTCGCGGATGGCGCTCCTTTCCAGGAATTTGGATCTTGCTTTTGCAGTCAGGCAACTCTAACGAGGCTAAACGATAACCCATGATGATCCGCATTCAAACACCGATGCAAGATACACTATCGAAAAGAGCTCTTAGCTTAGTACCTTATTCCAATTCCTTTAGTGGGTTGTCACATTGCAGTATAAGACGTAACACATCATGAAGTCGAGTAATCAAGCAGATTTATACCTCTTACAATTCTTTCGAGGTTGACTATCAGCCTTCTGTCATCTGCAATATGGCTTTGCACGTCCCTTCATTATTAGGAAAGGCGCTTCTACTATGCTCGTTGATTACCACTGTCGTCTCAGCACCCGTCGACAATGAACCGACAGTCACTCTGGCCTCAGGCGTTGTCATAGGAACTACTACCAAGCCTGCAAACCAGCCATCGTTGACAGCCTCAGCCAACGCCTATCTGGGGGTACCTTTCGCGAAGTCGCCTCCAGTACGATTCTCTCCGCCAGAAGCAGCAACACCATGGTCTACTCCTCTGCAAGCCCAAAATATCAAGCCAGCATGCATTCAGCAGTTCTCAGGTACTGGCGAAATTCGTGCCAGAACTATGGAGTACTTCAACAACCCCACCTATCCACCACCTGAGGAGAGCGAGGACTGCTTATACCTCAATGTATATACGCCTCCAGGAGTTACGGCTTCCAGCAAAAAGGCAGTGATGTTTTGGCTTTTCGGGGTAAGCGTTGTCCTTTCCTCTATTTTCTGCAACGATACTGATCAGTGCAGGGCAACCTCGCTTTTGGTACTGGCGGACTAGCATACTATGATGGAAGCTCTCTCGCGATCAATGAAGACGTTGTTGTAGTCACTATCAACTACCGCACGAATAGTAGGTCTTTTTGTCCTCTTACGTTCCGATGATCAGTGGCTAACACGCTCAATCTCAGTCTTCGGTTTCTCCAACTCACCCGAAGTGCCGTTTGGATTTCAAAACGCTGGTTTCTTGGACCAGAGGTTCGCGTTGCAATGGGTACAAGAAAATATTGCTCAGTTTGGAGGTGATCCAAATCGTGTGATGATTTTCGGCGAATCCGCAGGCGGCGAATCAGTTAAGCAATTGCTAGCCAACCCACCGAACCCACTACCTTTCTCGTCGGCCATACTTGAGTCTCAGAATGCGGTACTCCCTGGAAACGGCCTGGTAAACTATAAGCAGGTATTGCTAAACTTCGGCTGCGCAAACATCGATTGTCTTCGCAAGGTACCTGCAGTGGATATCAAAGCGTATATTGAGTCGCAATCGCTTTCTTTTCCACCAGTCAATAACGATGGCACCTCAACACCTGATGTCAGACTTAGCATATCCACTGGGAAGTTCGCCAATGTGCCGACGATGCTAGGATCTAACCTCAACGAAGCGCGTGTCTTCCTAGCCGTGGCCGGCTTGACCGACGGTACCGCCGCTGTAGACAGCTTCTTTGATCAATATAACATCACGTCAAAAGCTGTTCGCGACTCCATCATCGCCGCATATGCCGCACAAGGTATCACCGATCTGTACGAAGTAGCCGACAGGCTTGGGACAGATCTAGTCTTCACATGCACGACTGGTAGGCTGGCAAATTACCTCGCCATATCCGGACGCACAACTTACCGGTATCTATTCACCCCTGTTTTCCCTTCTATTGGTATCTTCCCCAATCCAGGTGCATACCACACAAGCGAGATTCCGGAGGTCTTTGGCACGTATCCACTTTCGAACCAGTTTGGCACTGCAACGCAACAGCAGATTCAACTCAGTGCTTTCATGCAAAAAACATGGGCGAACTTTGCAAAGAACCCCGCTGGAGGCGTAGGATGGCCAAAGGTTGGCAGTGCGCTTGGGAAGGAACTGGGTGTATTAGGAAAGGATGGAAGTAGTGGGGTGACCGTCAGGCCATTACTTGAGGCGGATTACGCTTGCCCGCTCTATGCCGGCATTGAAGATCTCTTGGGATTATCTTTCAAGTAGGCGATGAGAGTAAGCTCTGCATCGTATGTAGAAAAGCCTACTGGGAGTGTCGATCACTATTGATCTGCTACATGTATATACCAACGAGGGCATTCACGCCTGGTATACCAAACTCACAACAAACAATGTTATGACTACAACTGCCAATACTCCAGCAAAGATGGCTGATCTAATCTTCCTTCTTCCACTCAACCTTCCCGATACAAATTCTTCTCTCAAGTCTTTCTTCACCAATGGTATGGAGAGTAAAAATCCGACACCGGCAAGCCAATATCCAACAGGGATAATGATTGCCAAGCACAATTGCGTAGCCTTCCTGTAGCTCTCACTTGCTGTTTCCTCGTTCATCAATGCTAGACCGATGATCTGTGGTCCTGACGAATAGATCAGTACTTGTACGCTGCCCCAAATGGCAAGACCAAACGTCTTGTAGCGCGGTGGAAGAAGCAACGCAATGAGCGCAAAGAGGCAGCCTAGCCATAGTTCTGCAGTGAGATATGCAAGACTCATGACGCCGTACAGAATTTTGATGCCTCGGTCTTCCGAGCCGCCGGCGATATCGCGCGAGAAGACCATGAGGAGGACGAAAAGCGCGCTTATCATGCCTCCGATGCCGGTCAGGTAAACTGGTGTTAGCTGGGTACGTGGCCATAGCACCGACGTGAGGATGCCACCACTTAGCACTGCGACTGATCCTACGACACCGACGATGATGCCATAGCGGGAGAAGATCTCGGTGTGTGAAGGGTATGTGTCGCCGAGATAGCTGGGCATGTAATATCCGAAGACATTGCCGCTCAATTGACGGAAACCAGCCGAGAGGACAAGAAGCCAGAATGAGTTCATATGCAGGATGTATGTGAAGGTAGCAACCAGATCAGACTTGGCGGCCTGCAGTCTTGAAGTGCCTCGAGAGTGGGTTGGCACATCTGCGAACTCCATGCTCACGTTGTTGTTACGATCTTCTCTGCTCATTTGCACCAGGCTTGCTCTTCTCTTTGGTTCCCGCAGAAAGATTCGTAACAGTACTGCGACGACACATCCCGTGATGCCGATCGCTCGCAAGGCAATGCGCCAGCTTGTACCAGTCTCTGTAAAGGCAGTGGCGATTTGACCGCTGATGGCTTCGCCAATGTATACCCCCACATAGAGTATGCTCTCTCCAATGAATACATTTCTCCATCCTACCAAGTCGCTGATGAGGCTGATAGATATTGCCTCAACGCTCGCCTGCCCAACACCCATTCCAAGTCTGGCGCAAAATAACTGACCAAAATTGTTCGCTAGAGACTGAAAAATTACACATAAGCTCCACCATGCTGCCGTGACACATAAGACCCACACACGAGCCGACGTGTAGTCAGAGAGGAAAGCGATAGGTAAAGCGAGGATGGCGTAGACAATCCCTGTTGCATACCCGGAGAGGAGCCCATATTGTGTGGAGCTCAGTGAAAGATCAGCTAGTACAGAAGTCTGGAAATATGATAATATGAACTTGTCGTACTGGGCGAGAAAGTAGTTGACTAATAAGAGTAGGATGCAGATATATGCGTATATGTTATAGAGTAGTGGCCGTTTCTGGGTAATCGGATGTGCGGAAGGTATTGCCTCATCTTCGGACGGACCTTTTGTTGCATGATCGTACGGTTGTTTGGTGTCGGATGCCATGGTGCAACGTTCGTAACACGCGAACACTTTTCAAAGATATCGAGGGATCATGTATAGACTTTGTAGCTACCAAGCCGTGGCGCAAAGTCGATGACGTAACAACCACAACACCCCGCAGCCGATACAACCGTCGTGATATGGGGTCAAGCGTTGCCGCAGTTTGGACTCAGTGGCCAATTCCAAAGCTCACAATGTCTAAGCCAGAACCACAACTTCCTCTAGGTAGTTCCTCGACACTGCGAGGGTTTGCCGAGAGCTTTTCTTTTCACAACTCGCCAGAGTCATTCATCACATCGCGTATCCTCGCCTTCCAAAAAGAACACCCAGAAGCTGTGGAGAACCGGGCAATAGTTCGAGCGAAAGTGCTAAATCGCAATGTCGCTATTGTTTCTTCATATGCGCAGATTCATCAAGTTCTCGCCCAGGATGCGGCAGGATATGAAGCCTGTGGCGCGTACTCTGAGCTGATGGCACCATTCTTTCCGTCACCGAACTTGTTACTGACAGATGGTGAAAAACATACTTCCATGCGTCAAACATGGGAAACAAGAATGAAGGATTTGAAAGAGATGCTCCGTTCTGTAGTGGGTTTGCACACTGATCAGCATTTCTCTGAACCTTCAATATCGGAAATCGACATGTACGAGTCCTTAAAGACGCTTTCGTGGAAGATATTGCTTGGAACATTTCTGGACCTCGGCAGCAACAGCAGTTTATTTGATACGATAGAAAGTTTGCAGGAAGACTTACTTCGAGGCCAGTTCTCGTTGTTTCCGGTGACCGTCAACACAGGCTTCTGGCATTCACCTCGCAAGAAGGGCAAAGAGGCGAACAGAAAGCTGCAAGCCAGGATCTCGCAGCATCTGAAAGAGAAAAAAAGTGCGTGCCCATTTGCTACTGCAGATGACAGCGAGTTGGAGGATGTAGCAAAGCACTCTGTCCTTTTCACGAGCAGCCTTGCAGTCAAAGCGCTGGCGTCTCTCTTAACAGCTTTGCTGTTGAACCTGTTCTTGTACCAAACAAATGATGGCCAGTCGCTAGCAGAGTCTTTGGCTAGTGGAGGTGATCCTGACAGAACTTCGCTACGCTTACGCGCCATACTCATGGAAACAGAGCGGCTCAGCCCACCCATTGTAGGCATCATGAGACGGTCCACAAGAGATAATATCATCTCATCACCAGGAGATCAGGCTGACATAAAGATACCAAAAGGATGGGACTGCTGGCTCTACTTCGTAGGCAGTGGCCGTGATCCGACGGCTTATGGATCGTCTTGGGATGTGTTTGACGCGAACCGATATCTGGACGAGAGTGTACCGCCCGGTGTAGCTTTCGGGGCGGGTCTAAAGACATGTTTGGGTCGCGACGCGATTCGCGAGATTGCTCTGGTTGTAGCAGACACATTCGTACGTCTCGGAATCGGTATACATGGCAATGTTGCATCGCATGGGGTGCGCGGTTGGCTGGGGTGGGAACCGAATCATTCGGTGAGGCCAGAGGATTGGGCTCAGCATATGAAGCAGTTGCCCACGCAAAGACCATCGGAGCCTATCATGGTTCGTGTATCGCGTAGTTCCACATGAGACAATCTCAATATAGTCGTCGTTTGATGTTCCTCTTTACTACATTGACAGCCAGTATGGTCCACCAGAGACCATTCAACCCTACTAGCATAGCAGTCCCGATTTGACATCGTTTCCTCAGCATTGTATATGATTGCCATGGGCCGATACCATGATGTTGGCCGTATTTTGTCAAGATCCAAACAACAACACCAAATCTTGAAGCGGCGAACGTAGTCAAAAAAGCAACATCGATTGCAGTATTTGATGTTCCTGTCTGTTGCCGATTCCACCATCGAGCATGCATCAATGGTGTACTGCCATTCATTAGCAAGAATGCAGTGATCACCCACATCCCTTTTTCTTTGCCCGCTGCAATATATGCTTGCAATACGAGGAATGCGGATGAGAGCAACACATGATGGGCGAAAGCGACAGGCGACGAGCGAGCCGCAACGCCCAAAGCAGCGCGAAATGACAATCGGTTTTTCATGCGATATGTGCGAACCATAGTGTAGGTATCGTATAGTAGGTATACCGTTTCCCATGCGGTCAGCGCGTTGGCCATACGATTGTGGCCATTGATCATGGGATTTTGCGTGTCGTCTAGGTGCTGCTCCTTCTCATTCGTGTCCTGTGTAGATGCGCTCCTCGGCAGAGGTACTGGCCATGATGCATACCGTAACAACAGTAATGCAGCGATGGAAGTTGTCGTAGCATGCGCTGCTGAGAAGGCCTTGTTGAGATTGACAGGATCCGAGGGCATTACATAGGTCTGACCAAAGATTGGATTGAAGCGGAGTTTGATCTGTCGGTCGAAGAGGATGAGCGTTACGCCGATTATGGGTTCAGGAGAGTATTTACGACCAGGTTGATGACTTTGGTGGCTTGCTGAGAAGACCACTCGGCTGACAGACACTCAAGGTCCGTGCAGCATATACGTCATCGATCATTGCATCCCAACCACCTGGAGGCTTGACATCGGTTTGCCTATCATCACACGGTTCTCAATACATGGCATTTTCGAGGATGTCGGGTACACTTTATGTCCTATACAATGCCGACGCATCCATCATTGGCAAGCTGCGATATGGATATCGTAAGATTTGCCATTCTACTGAGGAGAATCCAGCATGTGCAGCCTGTACGCTTCACTTACTAAGGTGATCAATAGAGAATACCGTATGCTGATGTAACCAGGCGATATCACACATGGCGGATTGTCACTGAAGGAGACACCAACTTGGCTTGAAGCAAAGAAGGTGATCGAAGCCGACTCTGGCTATAAGATTGTCCAGTGGCACCGGGATGAGCTGTCTGATGAAGTACGTGTCTGTTATTGAAAGATGCAACGCTCTTGAGTTTGTACACTAAATATGCGTAGATAAAGGATTTCGTTGAATCCAATACCATCCGCTACCCGACCATTATATCGAAAGGAGCCAGCGGTAACCTTACGGAGGTGATGACCAACTCAGAGCTTGCAGCGTGCAAAGGAGACGCACGAAGTGTTATTTCGCGGCTGTGCGAGAAAGGTATTGTAAAGCAGGAAAGACCCTCTTCATCTTTGTAGCTTGTTTGTCTATCTAACCAAGCGATTCCACCAGCCACTTTGTTCGTTGAGCGATTCCCAACCACACTAGAAGAGCCATTGCCCAAGACAGTTGTTGCAAGTAGCAAGGATATACGAGCATGGCCGTGAAGAAAGCTGCACTTTCAGTTCCTTCGATGAGTGCTGGTCGCATTGCGACGCTGGTCAGCTCTTTGACCCTGGTCGTATTTTCACCTCTGCCACTGCCTTTACGCTTCTCCAGGATGGCGCCTATGTAGAACAAGACAAAGTTGTTGACATGGAAAGAGGCTTCCAAGACAGCCACTGAGAACCAAATCCTCCTCGCATTAAAGTTCTCGTTCTGTGCTAAGGCGCAGCTTATTGGGATGGCTGAATAGACAATGAAGTCGCCCAGAAGGTCGAAGTAACCACCAAGATCTGAAGACTGATTACGTTTTCGGGCGACGGCTCCATCGAGACAATCCAGTGCTCTGTTGAGTGCCCAAAATGCGGTGCTCAGTAGGATGTTGTTGGAAGCGGCGTAGATGCAGGAAATGACACCAGAGAAGAAGGCGAGAATGGTGATGGCGAGCGGGGAAAGAGAGGAGGGGATGAGATGTGTAATAGAATCGAACAACGTGTCTTTGATCGGTCGAAGCTGTATGTCCAGCATGGCTGTTGTAGGTACCAGTTCAACGTAGAACGATAATCGTTGTTCAGGCGAGAGACTGGAATCCCGTCGGAACCATTCCGATTCCAATTCAGATGACGTCAAGAGTGAATGCCCAGACAACGCCTACCGAAGGCAATTATCAGAACAATGATAGACACAATGGAGCTCTTCATCGCTTGAAATACTACAATTCATGGCTGCAACGTACCGAACCGTCCTAGGAGCTCTGTTCTTTTCTGCTGTCGGTTTCCCAGCCGTGTATCAGCCTGTCCTTACGCCTTTGTGGCAATGGCTGATACAGAATCCTGTGTACCGCCTCTCGACCTTCGAGACCATCTGGACCGTCTCTCTATATGCAGCGATCGAAGTTTCTATGACAGTCGTCTTCCTGCGAAACCCGCAATGGAGGTTTGGCGTCCAGGAGGGCAAGAACGGGGAAGACGTGAAGAAACCACACGGCATGCGACGACCTTCGCGGCGATGGGGTGAGGCCGCCACGTACATGACGCCGTTGCTGCTCATGGACCTGACCATGATCAAGAAGTTTGCCGATGTGCCGCTCACGGCGATGCTTGAGTCGGGCAACTATCACGCCGCAGCCGCTGCAATCGCTGCGAACAACTCCACCTCAACATATCGCAGTACCTTTCTGGTGCCGACCCTGCATAATATGACGATTTCTTCGCCGCTGCAAACACAACGTGCTCTACCAGACCTCCCCCCTTCAAGTCGACGAGTCGCCCTCGAGCTTGCCGCAAGCTTCTTCCTCTACGATGCCCTCTTCTTCCTCTTCCACTTCTCGCTACACGTCATACCTGTAGTCAAGCGGTGGCACGCTCCACATCATCGACACGCCGAGATACACCCCCAGATCACGAATCAGCTGCACATCTTTGAGCGTCTGGGCTTGGTGCTGCTGGCCAACTTCAGCCTAAATATAATCAAGAGTCATGTCTTCACACGAACGTTGTTTGTGCCTATATTTGTCTGGCTGTTAGTCGAACTGCATTCAGGACTCGATCTGCCATGGGGTTATGAGAAGATTCTACCCAAGGGTTGGGGCGGTGGTGCGCGGAAGCATAGTCTTCATCATGCACGAGGCGGCGGAGGCTACGAGCCATACTTTACTTGGTGGGATAACCTTCTGGACCGAGTCGGACATAGCCCAAAAGAGCATGTTGAATGATCGCGCACGAACCTTGCCCGGTCTTTTCACGTCGCATCTCATGTACGTCCAAGCAGACAGGCATGCATTGCTTCTGCACAGCCAGTGAGTCGCACCAGGCGTACAATGGCCGCACGGCCCGGCTTCGCCTGATAGCTCACGATCCTAATGGTCTTTTGAGCACGGTAATTGGCGTGTTGTAGGCGTCCGCGGGAGGGGGAAATTTTCAGGGCCGCTAAACATCAGGCGCCAGCCCCTTTAGAACGCCACAACCGGCAAAGAGCTAGATTCATGATAGCTTGTACAACTTCGCGAAAGTCTTATATTTAAGAAGCCGCATTAGCAAGTCAATGGTAAGCATCGCTCTTCGTCGCTCATTCTGCCAACCAAGTCGCTCGTTTTGATCTGTGCGCTGCATCAGTAACTACTCTCGTTAAAACTTACATACTACCAACATATCATCATGGCTTCAAGATATATTTTTGCCTCCCTCATCAGTCTAGTTGCTGCTCAAAAGGCTTCAACAACCATCTCAGTCCCATGGATTGGTATCGGCTCCACTGACGCCCCGTCCGTCTTTACCGACTTCTACGCCTCCGTCATTACGGCGAATCCCACCGCCACTACTCTTTCACTCGCCTGCGCTCCTGAATCTCTCGATTGTGGTCTCTTCCCTGCTCAAACTCTCGTTGTCGGACCTTCGACTTACAACATCAATATGGGAGATCCAAGCCCAGACTCGGACTTCACCGCTACGATGGACTGCGTGGTTGCTGAGAGCGCGGTTTGCAAGGAAAGTGCTAGTGGTACCGAAGCCAACTTCCCCGGCACCAGCACGACGACATATGACGCCGATATGGTTAGCACGTTTGGCTTAGTGGTCACAGCTGGTGCGGACAAGCTTAACGCTCAAGCGGAGACCACTACCACAGAGGCTGCAGAGTCCTCTGCTACGATGAAGAGCTCACACAGCATGTCTGGCTCCAAGCTGGAATCTGTTGCAAGCACTGGTGTTGCAGTTGGTTCTGGAAGTGTCAGCCCAACTGGCTCAGGTTCCGTGGTTGAGTCTACGGGCGCTGCGGATGCTAATGCTGTTGTCGGTGGTGGCCTTCTTACTGTTGTTGCTGGCGTGATTGGAGGACTCTTGTTGTAAAATCTTATGAATGAGGGATAACATCAGAAGAGGTCAAAAGCGACTGTTTCCAACGATTTTCAATTTGATATAAGATCCATGAATGTTGTCATACAGTTTCCACCGGGCAATCCCATGTTACCTCAAGAAAGTGGAAGGCCTCCAAACATTCGATCCAGCATGCGTTGCATACTTTGCTCATAGCAACGCGATTTCGCACCAATGCTGAAACGATAATCGCAGGCCTTGCATGGAGCGAGCAATGCGGCACGCCTTATATCTATAAATACATATCCGAGCACGATCAGGCCATAGCCCTTACGTTGTAATGCTAGCGAAGCTCTTTCCTTGTGGTCTTTCTACACACACACACTCTCTCTCTCTCTCATCGCAATCGCTATAGAATAAATGCGGTTGAAAGAAATGAGTTTTCCTGCGCTAAGCGTGCAGACCCAGTGCGTCAGTGGCGGCTTATGTTGGCGGCGACGTGGTGGGTAGTATGCCTGGATGCCGAGGAAGGCGCAGCACACCCACCATCTTCGAGCAACCTGAGGCGGACCACCTAACAAATAAAGTTTTTGATGTGAGCTTGCTCGAACCACAGTACGGGCCTTTGCTGTAGATGCCTAGACTTCATTCTTGTTGCTTTTGTACCCGCTGGGAATCTATCGCGCCCTCAACCTACAAAGCAATGCAGATAGTCGACGAGTGGATCTACTACCATCAATATTTCTAGAATGTCAACTGCTTCGTACAAAACTTCCGCGTCCAAAACGTCCGACTACGACTTTCACAACAAAATTACCGCGTCCCCGAACGCGGAACACGAAAGAGTGTCTCGACCGAACCACTGTACAACTGTTTTCGCACACTTTACTCAAGAAATTGTAACCTATCCGATCAAAGCCATGTCATGGATCATAAGAAGAATGGACAAAACATTCTGGGAGCGTTGTCCAGTCGGCACCAGGATTACGCCGTACATTATCTTTGACTCGATCTATCACTTTAGCTCGGATCGAGACAGTAGCAGTCTTTCTACCTTCTCGAAAGATCTGCTACGGAGATTCCAGGCTACTCGCAGTATGTGGGCGCTGTCTTTCCATCCCACAATGATGCAAGGTTGGCGAGGGCTACCCGAAGCGATGTCTACACTTTCATGGACGTCGAGACTCGTCTTTCTGGCATTGACATGCCCATATTTAGCATACGGAACCATTAAGTTGTATTCCATGTGGATTGTATATATCGGGTGGAGTCTGCTTCTCCTTACTATCAATATCCCTATCCGACTTTTTCGACAATCACTGCTTTCGGTCGGCTTCGTTATTTGGGTTTCGACATACAGATACCCGCTATTCGAGGTCATATATCCTAGACAGCTTCGCAGAATCTTGCAAAAGAACTCAGACGCCTATTCTCCGCTTGCGATTGATTCTAGAAGCATTCGAGTCGTCCGTCTTAAGAGTGGAGAGAACAATGATGCCATTAAATGTGAGCTAGTCACTGGCCCCTTGAACAATCTCGAATTCGAGGCATTGAGCTATGTTTGGGGTGTGTCTGTAAAGCGTTACAAAGTTCAGGTCAACGAAAAGCCTTTTTTGATCACGCACAACCTTTTTACGGCACTTCGAGAGCTTCGCCTTACCGAACGCGATCGTATTCTTTGGATTGACGCAATGTGTATTGATCAATCCAATACTGTCGAAAGAGGATCACAAGTGCAGATGATGCGCGACATTTATAGTAAGGCTTCCAGAACGATCATATGGTTTGGCGAGGCAACATCTACGACTCCTATCGTATTCAGAACCATTTTTCATATTAGCAATGCGGCTTCTCACGAGAAGGAGAAGCTACTGAGCAGCTTCCGAACACAATTGCACGTGAAAAGTATCAAAGAAGAACTCGATGCTGTCTTGCGCCACGAGTGGTGGCAGCGGGTGTGGGTAATTCAAGAGGCGGTCGTTAGTCAGAATGTTTGCGTGCAAAGGGGTCCACTTAACGTTACGTGGCGAGAGCTCAGCAATTTCATGTTCTTCTCCAACATCATATGCTATCAACAAGGGATTGCGTTCGCATCAGCTGTGCAGATGCTACGCGCCAGCCTGCACGAAGACTCCAAGGTTCGACTTTCCATGCTAGATCTAGTCGAAAGGTTTCGCGGACAGTCTGCCACGTTTGGTCCAGACAAGATATACAGCCTAATGGGCTTGGTGCAGGCTGGACAACCTTCGCTTCTGGAGGCAGACTACACCATGACCCCTGAGAAAATTTTCATGCAATTCACTGTCTCTTGTCTCCGCTGTTACGGAAACCTACGAGTACTAGGATTAGCGGCTAATGCCGAACTGAGGAGCGCAAGTTGGTGTCGCAACTACAGCCTGAATATCGCTGGGGTGGAAGAAAGCCGGCCGCTCCATGGACTACCTGGAAGGCCGAGACCTTACTGTGCCTCAGGCAATTCGTCCCTGCGATATCATTTCAGCCTTGAGTACGGAGTCTTGTCTCTTTTCAGCTTGGGTATGGACGAAATAGTGGAAGTAGCCGGAGTTTATAGACCTGGAGCCACTTTGGACACGGTAAAGTGGTCGAATTTTGTTGACGAAGCACCCCCAGAACGAAAAATAGCTTTCACCTGCACAGTTGCTGCAGACTGTCTGACCAAGCCCGGGAAGCAATACAGCCCATCAGAAGAAGCCGCATGGATTGAGCGATACAGCCAAGCTGTTAACAACGCCTGTGTAAACCGGCAGCTCTTTGTCACACGCTCAGGGAAACTCGGTATTGGGCCCTGGAACCTCAAGCGCGGTGATAACATAGCCATATTGATGGGCGGAAAGACACCTTTTGTCCTGCGCAAATGCCGCCTGGGAGAGAAGCGTAGATACATCAGTGAGTTTGGCATCCCAGGAGATGCTTACAAGCTTGTTGGTGAAGCTCATGTCGATGGTATGATGTATTACGAAGGGAACGCGGAAGAACGCATCAAGAGTGGGGAGGTAAGGATCGTGCCCCTACACCTGTTGTGATCCAAGGATCTATTGCATACGCCAGCCCACGCGATTGTGTCGAAAGACAATACATTGAACTTGCAGCTTCAGAGAGTAGAGACGCAGCAAGCGCCCCACACGCTAGGCCTAAAGCTGTCTAGACATCATTGTGCCCCTCCCCACGTGGTTGACATGGACGGAATCTACTTCACTCTGACAGACATCGCGTCTGTACCCAACGAAAATGATGTCTTGTACAAGTAGTAACATGGTGACATGATCTGCAATGTCTAACGACAAAGCGCAGCCACAAAATCGGCAGTCCGGAAGCCTAAGACGACCGAGAGCCTAGTTCGACAAGCGACAGAGTGGTCTCGTACGACCAGCCAGGCAAGACTGATATATGGACAAAGTTTGAACCGACTCCAATCGTCAACATGTTGAACGTCCCTTCATTGTATCGGAGACCTACCACTCTTCCAAATCACCACGACAACATGCCCCCAACCCCAGCACTAAACCCCGACCCGAACCAAGGACTCAACCATACAACCATAACCCTCTCATCAGGCACAATAGCGCACACATGGACACCCAACACCCAACCCACCGCAACTATTGTCTTACAGCACGGTTACGCGGAATACGCATCCCGGTACCTATACTCGCACCACAACCTCATCACACACTTCCTCGCCGCCGGATACTCCGTCTACGCCATGGACATTTGGGGTCACGGTTCCTCACCAGGTGATGTTCGCGCAGTAGCTCACGTGGGAAAAGCCGTCGTTGATCACGTTGAACTACGCGACCACACCGTGAAGCTGGGGAAGCCAGTGATATTGTTTGGACATTCACTCGGCGGCCTCATTACTGCTGGGAGCGTAACACTGGATTCAAATGACATAAAGGGGGTAATTCTCACCGGTCCCGCATTCCCAGGTCCGTTCCCCTACGCAGCGAGATTAGCGGTAGGCGTAGCAGCGCGCACGATGCCAACAGTTTCTATACCGGGTCGCCACGTCGACATCTCAGGCCTTACACGGTGTAAACCTGAGATTGAAAAATATCTGGCTGATCCGTTGTTTTCGAAGAAGGCAATTTGCTTCTTGACTGCTGCTACGGCTGTGGATGTTACGGATGCTGTCATGGCGAAAGTGGGAGACTGGACTGTGCCGACGATGGTGCTGCATGGGGATGCAGATACGTATTGTGATTGGAGGGGTAGTGAGAGGTTTGTGCAGGAGATAAGAAGTGAGGATAAAGAGTTCGGTGTTTATGCAGGGGGAAGGCATGAGCTGTTGCATGATGAGTGTGGGGATGAGGTTTTGAAGAAGGTATTGGGATGGGCGCAGGAACATGTTTAGTATTGAAGATGGTGTTGGACATTCGCTGTTTGGATATGAAAGAATGTTTCCAATGTCCTGAACGCTGCCCAATGCAGTACCGTCATGAGCCCTAGTAATACAACTATGTGTGAACCAGATGAGTGATTATACAAGATGTCGATGTCTATGCCTTCTGCCAACAACCATAAGGAATAGACGTCGTAATCATGTGTGAGCTTGCTCCTGTAGGGGGAACGCCGGAGTCGTGATACTACTGGAAGTTGAGGATGTGGGTGCTACGTTGCATGTCTGACACCTGCGGCGCATGTTCGGAGGATGGCTACCCAATGCGTCTAGACAGTGCTTCCACTACTAAACACTTTTCCAAAAGCATCACCCTCTTCCATGCTCAGTCCCTCATCTAGGATGTCATGCGCCATGTTCACGACCTCGTCTTCAATTCCCGCTTCTAGCACTAGTCCCTCGCTAAACGCCAAGCGGGTAAGCGCAACGAGATAGGCATGCTGCCCGCCCAGCGTATTCACCAACTTGCTCTTGACATCGAAGTTGGCATTCGTCGTCGCGACGTGATAGATCAGCTTCATCGTGGCATTGATGGAATCGACTTTCCGGTCTTGAGTCGGCGAGATGGGATGCCGATAGAGGCTTGTAACGCAGTGATCAAGGTACTTGATCAATCGGCCAATGCAAAGGCGATTCTGGGCCAGACGACTAGAGCCGTACTCTGAAACAGAAAATTGTGTAAGTACTGAGATGACAAGAAAGCGGAGGTCCCAGAGGTCTGCTTCGGAGAGTGCTGGAAGTGCACTGGGAGAAGCCGCAGGATCGGGGATGAGCTTGGGTATCTCGGTGAAAAGATTGGTGAGGCGATTGATGAGAGCATCTTCGTTGTTTGCTTGATTGTCTTGAGGAGAATCCGTAGTGGTTATAGGTCCTACTGAGGTAGGTAGTGCAGAGGTATCAAGTATGCGCAACATGAGCATGATCTGTGATTGTGGCTGCTCTTTGACAAGGAGCATTATAGCGAAGGTCGAGGGTATTGCCTGCCACAAACGGATTATAGCTTCAGAGTCTACTGACGAAAGACAGCTGCTCGCAACGAGATACAGTAGTTCAAGACAGTCCTCGACGTCGATGCGAGACGCAATTTCCCGTTGCTTTGGAGAGTAGAGGTCGGCAATAGCTTTCTCACCTCCTTTGGCTGCTTTCGAGATGGGATCGGCTACAAGATCAACGGAGGCGATGATGAGCGGTACGACGCGGTCTGCTATGCCGACCGCAGTCTCGGTCGGTTCACATGCCAGAACGAAGTGCAGCGCATCCAGGATCAACGAAATCGGAGCATAGTACTTCTCAGTCTGACAGCGCTTCCATAGATCAAGAAAGATGTGACATATCTGTAGCGCTAACTCGTGCACATCAGCAGTGGCTATGTTCGCTAGTGCATCATACACAATCGAAGACAGCTTCTTGGATACGTCAGACGGAAATGCATGCAGGGTAAGTGCTTCGAGTATGCGATCGGTGCCATTCGAGGACGTATGTGAGAGCAGACGATGAAGAAGGGTGAATCGTTGATCGTCGCGTCGAAAGTGCTCGAGTAGTCCAACATCTAGCGTAGGTGCTGCGACAGGCGCTGGCTCTTCTTCTTTTGGTTGGCTTCGTGGCTGGCTCAGCGACAGCGCAGGCAATGGTATGGGGCTCTGGTCTATCGTCTGTCGTTTCCTCTTGCCCGCCTGCTTGGGTGTCGCCGTCTTCTGCCTCTCGCCGTGCCTGGACGGTGACGCCATGATAACATCGTCATCGGCGAAGCCATCGCCCAGCGGACCTCTTGTCTTCTGCCCCTTCTTCGGGGTGCCGGCTGGACTGACGACGGGCGGACCCGACTTTGGCCGTGACGGCATGGTCCTCCCAGGCCGTCGCGCGATGCTCGTCTCTCGTGCGTCATGCTGATTGAACATGTTGTCCGTCTGTACCGACTCCTTCTCCTGGCGCAGCCTCTCCATCTCGGCACGCAGTTTGGCGAGTTCAGTACCGTGGGCCTGCTGCTGGTCGGCCAGCTGGCGCTCGTGTCGACGACTTTCGGCATCGTAGCGTCTTCGAAGGGTGTCGGCCTCGCCCGACTTTGTCTGTAGCTTCCCTTTCAGCTCGTCGGCTTCTCTTCTCTCGCGCGCCTTGTCTTGCTCTAACTGCGATGTTTAGTGAGACGAGTGGAAACCGAAGGGGCAGGCATCGCACCTTCTTGATACGCTGAAGTAGCGCGTTGGGGTCAGCCTGCGACGGGCGCGGCTGCTCTTCCACTTCCATCTGGCCATTGTATGTCTGCCCATCTCCGTTCTGGTTGTGGTCGTAGTCGTAAGCATAGTCGTAGTCCTGCGACGCACGCGGGGGACCAGACGCGTCGTCCAAGTTGACTACCTCGTCGCCATCTTCAAGGCCGTAGTCGTCAGAGTCGGCCTCTGGGTCAAACAGTAGCTGCTGCTGCTGTGGCTGCTGTGTCGCCCTGATGGCGCTTGCCTCGAGGTCGTCGAGCGCGTTGGCGGGCAGGTCGTCGAAGTCATCGTCAGAGAAGTCGTCCAGGTCGTCGTCAGCCATTGTCGGACCATCTGCCAGCTGGCGTCCGCGTGTGCATGTCCCAAAGCGGTCGCAATGCGGGGCGCGACGCGTTGTGTAGTTTGCTGTGTTGGGCCGGGAAATTCACATGCAGGGTGTCGCTAAGCGCAGGCGGCCATGACGTCTGCCCGATGTTACTTGTCCGCAATTTCACAACCTGCCCAGTCAGTCGGACTAGTAGCTTGCTGCCAACACTCGACCCTCACCACCCCGCCTTCCTCCACCCTACACACCCTTCACGCCATCGCGCCTTCCCGTCCGGTCCTCCCCCGGCTGCCCCCTATCCTCCCACACCACACCCGGCGCAACCCGGCGCTCCCTCGCCCACCATGGCGCGTCCAAGAAAGGACGTCAAGTTCAACCACCAGGTCCGCAGCGCCAGCAATGGAAGAGCCCGGAGACCCTCGCAGAGCATGTCCGAGTTCAGCGACCCGGGCAGTCCCACCATCAAGGAGGAGACGACGCCTCCGGTATGTTGCTGCTTTTCTGCCTACCCGTCCACCAGCTGACCGCGCCAGTCCGCCGAGCAACCCCCCCAGAGCGAGTACGAGAAGAAAAAGGCAAACTTCATAACGCGCACCGTATGGACCCTCGTCATGATTGCCGGCTTCTTCTGGGCGCTGGGTGCCGGCCACCTCTTCATAATCATCATCGTCACGGCGGTCCAGGTCATATCCTTCAAGGAGGTCATCGCAATCGCAAACGTTCCCAGCAAGGCCCGCAGCCTGCGCTTCACCAAGTCGCTCAACTGGTACTTCCTGGGCACTGCCATGTACTTTCTCTACGGCGAGAGTGTCATATACTACTTCAAGCATGTCCTCATGGTTGACCGTCTGCTGCTCCCCCTGGCTACCCACCACAGGTTCATCTCCTTTATGCTGTACATTATCGGTATGTCCTAGAACCCTGTACATGCCACCTAAACTAACTCCTCCAGGCTTCATCTTCTTCGTCTTCTCACTGCAAAAGGGCCACTACAAGTTCCAGTTCACCCAGTTCGCCTGGACGCACATGGCTCTCTTCCTCATCGTCGGGCAGGCACACTTTGTCATCAACAACATTTTCGAAGGCTTCATCTGGTTCATCCTCCCCGTCTCCATGGTCATCTGCAACGACATCTGGGCCTATCTTTGCGGCATCACCTTTGGAAGGACACCCCTCATCCAGATTTCGCCCAAGAAGACATGGGAAGGCTTCCTAGGCGCCTGGTTCTTCACCGTTCTCTGGGGTGTCCTCGTTACCCACTTTGTTGCACGCTACAAGTACTTCATCTGCCCTGTCAACGACCTTGGCGCAAACATCTGGTCTGGCCTTGAGTGCCGACCCAACCCTGTCTTCGTCGCGCGCGATTACTCTGTTCCCTTCCTTCCCGAGGGTCTTCCGATTCCCCGCACCTTCAGCATCATGCCTGTGCAATTCCACGTCATCATGCTCGGAACTTTTGCGTCTCTCATCGCGCCTTTCGGTGGCTTCTTCGCTTCTGGTCTCAAGCGCACATTCAAGATTAAGGACTTTGGTGACTCTATTCCCGGTCACGGTGGAATGACTGACCGCATGGACTGTCAGTTCATCATGGGCTCTATTGCATTTTTCTACTACTCGAGTTTCATCGCTGTTCACCACACTACCGTCGGTGGAGTGATCGAAGCAGCCGTCACCGGACTGACCTACGAGGAGCAAATGGATGTTGTCAAGATCCTGAGCAAGCACTTGGTGAACCAGGACGTAATATCACCAAAGGTATGTGCTAACTCTCTTTGCATGCGATCATGAGCTGACTGGTACAGGTACTGGAGCTTCTTTCGGAGCAAATCGTAAGGAGATGAGCAGATGGCTGTGAAGATTTCAACAGTTATTTCTTTGGCACTTTAGGGAGGGTACGAAACGCTACGCAGGATGCTGTTTCGACATAATATGATGGGGAGAGTGGCACGGGTTATGCATGAGATAGGATGGTATTTGGGCGTATATACCCTTTTGCGATTCGGTATGGGATTTGAAAAGCACTTGAAAAGTGCGTGTGTGCATATAGTAATAAACTAAGCTCCTACCTGTGATTTTGTATGCAGCTAGTGATCCTGTATGATGTAGTGCAGCGCCGAACCGAGGCGGCGCACGGATGCTGCATCTCATGCTCCCGCATTGAAACTTTGGCACTGTACACCGTCAACGCCAATGCCACCCCGCCCATTCGTCAACGACGGACTATGGCGATGTCTCTGTCCGGGATTTCCGTCAAATGCTGTAGCAACACCATACATAACCAGAGGAGGGCCTAGGTTGCCACATGGCCATGCATCGCGAAAAGATGCCGCATCCCACTGCAGCCGTCAATCACGAGCCTACAACAGTTCCAACCCTCTCTTCACCGCAAACGACTCTTTCTTCTCACAGCCTGGAACTTCTGCGACTGGATTCCGCCCGTTTGGAGAGAAGCTGCGCCCTTCGCGCCTCCGAGGTACCCGAGATAATGTTGCACTCGCGCAGCAACCAACATATATCCTCTACGAACATGCGCGAGATGAGGGCGCAAAGGGCAACTGGGACGAGGTGATGAACATCTGCAGAGTCCTGATCAAAGACAGAGGAGAGCAGCCAAACAAGGAAATGTATGCAGCGTTACTGCATAGCTTCGTCGACCCCAAAACAGGCACGGCGGGCAAGCTGCGCAAAGTGCTCGAAGAAATGGGCTTCTGGAACGACACGGACGGAGCCCTGGTTGGACAGCCGAAAATCGAGCTGGATGCACGGGGCTGTGAATGCGTTCTCGAAGTGCTCGCAGTCCACCCCGATTACCTCCTCCGCGACGAAATACTCGAATACATGAAGTCGCGCTGGTTCAACCTTTCGGATCGCGCACGCAATTTTGTCGTAGCTGGAATGCTGCGCGATCGCCACTTCGAACACGCACTCATGACATTGGAAGAAATGGTTCGGAACAAGGCGCGCGTCGAGAGCTGGCTGTTTGACAAAGCTATGTGGATGTTGCTGGAATTTGGGGAAGTCGAAGAAGCTTTCCACGTGCTGGGCCTCAAGGAAGCTGCGAAGGGCAAGAGCAGCGGGACAGGTGCTGTGGAGCTCAGTAGTGCTCTGTGGGGGGCTTTACTCGATGCCGCATCGCACAAGCTGCTTGTAAGTGGGAGACCTGCCAGGCCCTTTTTTCAAAGACAACGTACTGACGCCAGAGAAGCTCGACGAGACAGTCCTCGTATGGACGGCACAAGTTCAACCGGGTTACCTCAAACCAGGAACCGGGGCCTGTCTGTCCGTCCTTAACCTCGCCTCGCGACACGGAGACGTCCCTCTCGCTACCGACGTTTTCCGCATCCTGACGGAGCGAGGGACAACATTGAGCACACACCACTACGAGCTGCTCATATCCGCCTATCTCAATGCCAACGACCTGCAAGCAGCCCTGTCCGTTATCCTCATCATGGTCGATATCAACTTGAAGGTCGGCCCTGGGACCTGTGATCCTCTCTACTGGTACCTGTCGGCTGGAACACCCGACGAAGATAGCCGACCTATGCAAGCCTTTAGGCATCTGCAAGACTTCGAGGCTGCAGGCCGTAAGATACCCACCGCAGCCGTGAACGCTTGTATTCAAGCCAGTATCGCACGTACGCGCCTCGACGAAGCCATTGAAATTTACAAAGCTCTGCATACTGTCTCTCATGCTGGCCCCAACACCGGCACCTTCAACATCCTCTTTCGAGGATGTCATTTGGAAGGGCGTAAAGAGCTTGCTATGTTCTTGGCTAACGAAATGGTCAAGCTGGGTCTCAGACCCAGTCGTCTCACATATGACCGTCTGATCCTGGTTTGCCTCACCGCTGGCGACTTGGACGATGCTATGCTATACTACGAAGAGATGGTGTCAACGGGTGCTACAGCCGGTAAAAAGGGCCCTATGAAGCCCAGAAGGAATACTTGGGAGGCATTGATCTATAGGTGCGTCGAGGAAGGTGATGAGAGAGCAGTCGCACTGTTGAACGATTACAAAGATGGCGTTGAGGAACCGCGAAGGAATATAGAAAAGGCAGTAGTAGATCGCTTCGAGTATGGCATCATACGAAGCGCAGATCCTGCGGACGTCGGACGAGAAGCGACCGAGAACACAGCATCCGACGCTGTGGAAGATCAACATGTCAGGTCAACGTCGGAGCTTGGTAGAACCCCAGATGCTGGAGCTGACACGGAACTGTCGGAGAAACGAAGTGGGGCGAGTTCTTAAGGAAGAAGCTCGAGTGCGAGTACGGAGACGGAGAAGGATAGAGGCCGATGATCTTGCGGTTATGAAAGCTAGCAAGGGCGCCGAACGGTGCTAGAATCGGAACCATCACGCGGGACTATCAAAAAGTGGCATCTCATGCGATTCGGCCAAGAATAACAAGCTATGCTATCGTCTTGCACTACCTCTTATCTCGCCGCATGCGCAGCTACATCACCTCAGCAAAAGTTGCTTTCTCATCAACTCTTAGCCGACCCCACGGTGTGGAGCTTGCAGGCTGATTCCCTGATTCTATTGTTCGTTTCATCATCAAATCTGGGCCGCGTACTACCCACGTTGAGCAATTTGCGTTACTCGCACAAGCTGCCATCTTCCGACGTTACGGAGCGCGCACGACAATGGTGGGGATAGAACAACTACCGAGGCTTGTGCCTTGGCCAATGACAGGTCACGCGAATCAAGGTTTTTAAGCTAACTAGGGCCTTCTTGGAAAAGCTTAAATCCTTCCAATCCTTACCGCAGAGCCTCTCGTACAATCTGGCCCACATCAAGCCTCAACCGGCATGATAGCGTTGCGACATGGCGAAGGATTTTACTCCTCAGCCGCTGGTCTCGAGGCGAGCGACGCCGAACTATGGCCGCCGACGCGCCCTGCTTTTTGGTCACATACGAGTCAATTCCCGCAAGCTCGGACTCCATACCGGTCAGCATCAGATGCCGTTTGTGGAGGTTTGTTGGGTCGGTGTATGGGGTCGGTGCTAAAACGAGGCATCCGGCGCGCTGCAGAGGCTACACTCACTGTATCTCCGGTGGTTAACCCCAAGGTGGAGACAGGTTAGTGCTCAATACTGCACTGACTGGAGTGTCTCCATGATAGTGCCCACGCTGCAGGATATTGTGGAGAAGGGGACTGGAGTACAAGTACTGAGCTACTGTCCTGCCCGTCTCCTTCTGTAGTCCCTCTCCTCCCCTTCCTCTGTCTCATTTCCCTCTGTCAATTTTCACCATGGGACTCAGCGGCAAGACTCTCCAAACGGCGCAGCTTTTGCTCGTCGTTCTGCCAGCCTTTGTGCTGTTCGGATACAACCAGTCTGGTGTTGGTGGTCTTCTGTCACTTCGTGATTGGAACGACCACTTCCCGGAGATCAACACTATCGATACCACCGGCGCGGAGAAGAGCAGCAATTCGACCAAGCAAGGTGCTGTTGTCGCTACTTTCACCATTGGTGCTCTCTTCGGCGCTCTGTCTTGCTCATGGATCGGCGACATCCTCGGTCGACGAAAGCTCATCTTCGGTGCCGCTTTTCTGACTCTGGTCGGTGAGATCCTACAGTGCACCAGCTTCCAGCTCGCGCAATTCGTCGTCGGTCGCTTCATCCTAGGATGGGGAGTTGGAGCTCTCAGTGCTACCGTTCCCGTTTGGCAGTCCGAGTGCTCATCGTCTGCCAACCGTGGTAAGCACGTTGTCCTTGACGGCTGCTTCATCTCTCTTGGCTACCTGCTCGAAGCATGGATCAACCTCGGTTTCTTCGAACAAGACAACTTGCCTCTCCAATGGCGCATTCCTCTCGCCATTCCAACCGTCATCTCCGTTATCCCTATGCTCGCCGTATTCAGCATCCCTGAATCACCTCGCTGGCTGGTCGCCAAGGGCCGTGTAGAGGAGGCTCGCGTCAGTCTGTCGAGCTTCAAGGGCTTGGAGTTGCACGACCCCGAGATCACCACTGAGATTAGCGGTATCGAACTTGCGCTTGAGGAGACTGGTCGCAGCGCAGCGAAAATAAGCGACATCTTCACCATGGGCAAAGACAAGCTCTTCTACCGCTTCTCGCTCTGTATCTTCCTCCAGTTCTTGCAGCAGATGTGCGGTAGCAACCTCATCTCCACCTACTCGACTGTAAGTCCCACTTCTTATCGACTACAAAATCACACACTAACAACATGCAATAGATCATCTTCCAACAAGGTCTCGGTCTTGACTCGGAAACCTCCCGCATTCTATCCGGTGGCGCCCTCACCTGGAAGTTCCTCTCCTGCTTCGTCGCCTTCTTCACAATCGATCGTTTCGGTCGGCGCAAGCTCTTCATGTTCAGCGGAGCGGGTATGGCATCCTGCATGCTGGCTCTAGCCGTCGCATCCAGCTTCCCCAAATCGAACAAGTCTGCACAGATCGCCAGTGCTCTCTTCGTATTCCTGTTCAACTTCTTCATCCCAATTGGTTTCCTCGGAGCGAACTTCTTGTACTGCACTGAAGTCGCGCCCACAAGGCTTCGTGTGCCGATGGCGGGTATTTCCACTGCTAACCATTGGCTCTGGAACTTCGTCGTCAACATGGTAACACCCGTCGCCATCGAAACCATCGGCTGGCAATACTACCTCGTCTTCCTTATCATCTCGGCTATCATCCTGCCCATCGTTTGGTTCGGTTACCCCGAGACTATGGGTCGCAGTCTGGAGGAGCTAGAGATGATGTTCACAGAAGGCAAGAACGTTCGCGACATCGTCAAGATGTCAAGGAAGCCTTTTACTAGCGGGCTCATGACGGACCATGTACTCGAGAAGGTTGCTAAGGATGAGGAGGAATATGCGCGCTGAGCGCTCTGTAGAGGATAAGATTTTGTCAGTCCAAGGAGCGGAAGTGTCTAGATCATCGCGAATAAAGGCGATGCTATGAATATGAAATGAATTACGAATGATCTACAGCTTTGCTCTTTGAGGGAACATGTTGTGCTGTGTAAAAGTTTTAATTAACCTACATCGTCTGATATTTAGGAGACTTGTGAACAAGTTGATGCTGCTTAGATCGCAGTAAAGCGCTTAAATGAGCGGTATTCTAGTCTTATATTTGTGACTTCATCATTTTTGCAATAGGGTTTCTTAAGCCTCCATTTGCGTCTCATATTTTTGTTCTTTTGTTCAGACGAAGGCAGTGCACATCGAAAGTACAAAACAAAGCGACTGGGATTTCATCATCACGAGACGATCAAGAACACACGAAGAACAAAATGGGCCGCAGGATTGGCCGTTGCCGATAGTCCCGAGATCGACCATCCATCTAGTAGCTAATTTCAGCCCTCTTCGTGGCCAAGCAGGACGCCTTAAATCAACGGCAGGAAGCTTCTTCTAGCGCTGTAAGCACCATAGTCAATATGCTGCTCCTGCTCCATTCGTGACACGAAGCTACTTTAACGCTTCCCCATATGACGTCAAATGATCTGCAGAGAAAAGGCCTGCACCGCTAGCCCGCACTGCGCCACCCCGCCTTGTCATTGCCCCCGAGGCACTGCCATAGGTTGAGCACCACATTAATCTAACCTACCTGGCAACAGCTCTGGATGTCGCGCTTGCGTGTCCAGCTCTGTTGAGTGGTGCGAGATTTTGGTTGCCCATCGTCAAGCTCGAATAGCTGTACGCTAACCACAGCTTGGGGCTATGTATGCAACACCTCGTATTCGGCGTCTAAGCCATGTGATGCGGGTTAGTTGGAGGCCCCGAAGCAGAATGTAGGCATGAGTTGCTTTCGCGATGGCGTGAAGTTGAACATATAAGCATTCATTGCGCTGTGGCTTGAGGGTGTTTTACAACATACGAGACACATCAAAGCTATCAACTCTTTCGCAACACAGTCCACAGTCCACAGTCCTCCACTATTTACAACCCTAAAAACAAAAACCCAAAGCCACACATCATGAGCACCACTCACGCCAACCAAGAAGAGCTACCTCCAAGCTACCACAATGAAGAAAAAGGCGACCCTCCATCCTATACATCTGTCGCCCGCGCCTTAACCACTCTCTCGGAAGGTGACCCTGATGAAACCATTCCCGTTCCCATGATTACCCGCACAGTCGCCAACTCAATCCACAACTACAACCCCTTCTCCCGTAAACAAGGCGAAGTGAAACAATCCATAATCGTCCGCCAGATGAAGCGCTCGCAGTACCTGGCCCACTATGTTAAAGATGCGGAGGGAAACTTTGTGGGTACGGGAACTCCGGCACCGGATTCGGGGTTAGTGTTTGTGCCGGGGAAGAGTAGTAGTGAAGAGTTACTCAAGCAAGCTAATGAGGTGGCGCTGGGGGTGCAGAGGAGGAGGGGCAAAGGGATTGGGAAGTTTGGCATGCCGCAGGATGACAGTAGTAGTGTAATGATGGGAGGTGGGTTTAATGTGGTGGGGTAGTGCAACAAGCGATTAGACTTCGTAAGGAATACCCATATATTTGTCTCATCATACCCCCTTTCATGAGTGAAGTCGTGATTCTACCCGTGTTTGATAAGTAAGGAATATCGTGAGCTGAAATCGCAGTCGTTGGGCAAAGCCGATCAGCTTGCATGCAAGCATCCGTCAACCCCTCCAGAGTTTTGCGAACTGATCAGTTCTAGGCTCGAGTTGCAGCTCGCAAACGTCTCCCTCCCCGGCATCTAGTAGTACCCTTTGTCATCCCATGGACTCCTTCTTTTCGCCCACTCCTCGATCGGCGTCAATTTCACACCGAGCTCTTTTACTAAGGGTCTCATATCAACGTTGAACGGCTCGTCTTCCGCCTCGTTATAATAAGTATACGCCTTGAACATCTGGCTCACAATTGTATCCGTCTCAAGACCACGCCCCTGCATCGCTTTACCTATCTTGTCGCAGAAGTCTGCGACAGTCTGGTTCTCATAACTCAGCTGCTTGCCCCAGGCTTTCGATAACTTCTCAGTCAGTTGGGACAACATCACGGTCTCAGGACCGCCGATAGGGATGTCGCGGCCTGCGAGCTCAGGGTGATCCATCGCTGCCATCATGATTTGGGCGACATCGTGGTGACAGATCCATGATACGCGGAGGTCGGGTTTGTGACAGTAGACAACAGTATTGCGGTCGCGGATGGGAGGTAGGGCCCAGCCTTCGAGCAAATTGTCGAGGTAGACTACAGGCTCGATACTGATTGTTGGTACTGACTCCCGCAACAACCTTCTCATTTCCCTTCGGTCGTCCTGTGCTACAATGCCTTGGGGTTTTTTGGCTACTGGCATACTCGTGTTGAAAAGAATCAGCGGAACTTTGGCATTCTTCGCGGCTTCCCCGATGTATCTGGCTGCAGCAATGATGGGCTCTGATTGGTTGAAGGATGTAGACGGGAGGTTGAGAAAGACTCTGTCGGCGCCCTGGAGCACTTTTGCAATGGCATCTCGGTCGGCGAAATCTGCAGCAAATGTCTCCACGGAATTCTCGTCCACCAGAACGGGTTTGGGGTTGCGGCTTACGGCGACAACTGAGTGACCTGCTCGGGCCAGGACGTGAACTTGATGTCGCCCCTGGACACCAGATGCACCGAAAATAATTACGCGCATTTTACGGATGTTTCGTTTCGATTATTCGATTGACAGAGTTTGGGTACTTGTCGAAGATGGTGTAATCGTGAGACCCTGTAGTAACAGGGTCGTTTAGCTACTGTGTCTGGTTGTCAAAGCGGATCTTCAAGGGTCGGATAGTCGTTGGCGAGCCGGGAGGAAACCCGGGAAACATTACCCGCAACGGTCGCTTAAGGGTCTGGGTAGGCGCATGACGCCTGTTGAACCGTATTAGCGTTTGCGACTCTGGCAAAAATTATAACTTTACTTGTCCCGGTAATCAGAGATTCGCCTTGTGGTTTCGTCGGATGTCGGAGTCGGAGTCGGACTATGAACAGACTAGCTTCGCACTCACCAACGGCGATCGCTCCCTCGGCCAGGAAACTGTGAACCGATGTGATCTCTACGCTTCTTCCCTGGAAACCAATCCGGTACATTACTGCGGATGTTGGGGTACCTAGGGGTTGAAAAGAGCCTAGTAGCATCTTGGCAAGCTCTTGCTATAGTGCGACCTTACATCTATCCTGCGTCCGATTACGACTTGAGAGCAGCGTTGCGATCAGCACTCTAACTGTACTACTATCGCGATGGACATAAATACAGATGTCAACCTCAATAGAATCATATAACTGCCGTGAGGCATATGCTGCAAAGTCGACTTGTATCTTCGATGCATGAAAGTCGCACCGATGGATCATCGCGAAAGGATACAGTGAGAAAATCAGGAAAATTGAACCATCGCTCGATAGAAGCATCAGATCAAATAGAAGAAGTCATGAGTAAGAAGCGGGGTATAGATATGAGGAACTTTGGCGCACATCCTTGTGTCGCGCGAGGTAAGAGATAGCCCACAAAAGCAAGGAGAGCCCTAAAGCAACAGCGCTGCGTATATGTTGTAGGTGCGCAATGAGGTCAAACCTCGATTCGAATGCCCGTGACGGGAATAATGCGACGTGTCAATGGCGCAGGTCTAGCGCCTTCCAGAAAGCAGTGTCTACGTTGAGGTTTGGTTACGGTTTTGTCGAAAGTAAAACAGAGGGTGGGCGAACCAAGGTCCAGATGGACGCCGGCGATGCATCTGGAGCGCAAGGGTCTTCTTCCTGGCCGGCACTATCCCGTCTCCCAACAAAGCCATCTTGGTTCGGTCAAACTTCGAGAAGTGAACGTCTACGTCTTCACTGCTCCATTGTGCTGTTCATGACAGCATGTGTCCGACCAAACGAAGGGACAGGGTCGTAAAGTTGTAATCAACGTCGATTCCGATGTTTTGGGTCTTGCAAGTTCGGCAGATCTGGGCCCGACAGCTGCATGATGGTCGTTTGCTATTATACTTACTCCGCGGATCGTTGACGCCTGAAGATGTGATGCAGTGGGGACACCTAATCTACGGGTAGGGATCTCAGATTCGGCTGCATGTATGGAGATGTGATCGACCGATGCCACGAGAAGCCCTTTTTTATCCCAGAGATGATGGGCTTGCTGGAGGCAGTAAAATCATGTATTTTGATTGGGCCAGAAGCCTCTTTCCGAACATATGCTTGTCGAGCTCTCCATGTCATTGAACGGGCTTTGCCCGCCAGTCTAGTGTTCGCATAAAGTATTGTAATGAAGAGTTCAGAGTCGACGAAGGTAATCTACAGCCTTGCGATTTGGCAATCTGTTCGCTGTTGTCGGCTAACAATCGCGGCTCGTAAGGACTTTCTTCTCTTAGGATTAACGATGCCTTCCACCACAACCTTCCCTGTTCCGCAGGCCCTGGCCCTGGCACTATGCTTGTGGTCAAAAACCAACAGCCTATCGGAGGTTTCGTAGGGGGTCGGAAGATTTGACCGAGAGGATTCACCAAGCAGAATGACGTCGGCGTAGAGACGTACAGTAACAGTGCAACACCAAACCCAGTAAATGTACCACGAGCTCGAGAGCTAAACTGCCGATATGACACACACGTACATCCGCGGAGGGATGTTCCTAAAGCGGCATCGGCATCCTTCTCGAATTTAAATTTGCGCCAATCTTGGTACGACGGACGCGCAAAAGCAACGAGCTCGTGAGCGCATTGGATTTGGAATTTGGAATTTTGTAATCTCTCAGATGTGCGTGTGTGGAGCTGTAGGATGTAGGACCTTCTCTTTTCTCGCTTGTCGCTTGCGACTGTGCAGCCGGTTTGGAGCCATAATTTCAGGAGCAGTTGGTGGGGGCCCCAAGGGTATGGTGGCTGGTGGCATAATTGGCGACTCGCATTAGCGGCGGCACGTGGCTCAACGTCGAACATCCACCGAGACGACTAGGGCAGACCACTCAACCGTACCTGATGCAACAGTTGCTGCTCTTGGTTTGGTTGAGAACCTCTGAACAGATACACCGACGTCATGCCGCTGGCTAGTTTTCCCCGCTGCAACGCCAGCGCGCCGTTCCTACCACCGCCGAGGGCCCGCTTTCATCTCGTGATCTGATTCGTCGACGGCAGCTGCGCTGCCTAATCGTGTTCGTTGAATTATTTCTTCTACCACCGCCTCTCAACGCGACTGCTCAGCTAGCGGACGACTCTATGTTAGCATACCCAGCGATGTGATCAATACCAACCTCGCAAAGCGCGTCTCTTTGCAGTGCCATGCAATGCGACTCTAGTTCTATTGGTCGCGGTATACGCTGCCGCATAGCTATCTCAATCGGCATGTCGCGTCGATCCTGCTCGGGCATGTCTTCCGCACCGTCATGGGCTTCCTCGACACACTACAGTACACCGTAGACTTGCGTGCCTAGTACCGGTACCACGCGTTCGATTCAGCGCACCAGTCGAGACTGCCCCGCTCGGTATCATAACTCCTGGGCAGGGTCATGCCGTCCACGGTTGTGGAAGCCGCCAACCGTGGATAAACAGTGAATTATTTCTTTTCCCATAACGCATCTGCTGCCCGCATCATTTCAGAATCCCCTTGTACAATTTCAGCCGTTCTGACCCCTCCAGACACGTGGAAATTCCTCAGTACTCTGTGTTATTTCTCAACAAGCCAATCGTACCGTCCGGTGTTGGTTTAACCTACCACATTCAATATTCAGTGCTGATTCTGCGAAGGTGGTAGCGGATCACCCTGAAACACAAGACCTCACAGGCAGAAGATTGTTAACATGAGCTTAGTACTCATGCCTTCTGATCAACATTTTTCCCATATCCCAGACGGGCATACTCCTATAATGCCCGGACAGCAAGGATACCGCGTGTATCATCCAAACCAAGCACAGCTAGGGCAAACACCAGATTCCGCTGGTCACGATCATTACGGGCTTATGTCGAATCTCACTACATCGACCCCACACCATGAGGGACACGCGGGATACCAGTATATGGGAAATTATGCGCCGCTCATCCACCAGTCGTCTAACTCACAGCCTTTTGGCTCGAGCGCAGACGTCAACACGAACTTAACATCGACTGCGAACGCATACCCCGTCGCAGACCACGCTTCAGCGTTCACGCCTTCCAACCGGTCTACAAACTCACACACTACACCAACTATCTCTCCTTCGCAAACCCAGTTCGATGCCAACGATGCGACGCAGTTCTACGAAGACACCGATGTCAAAGGACGACACGACAGTCTTTACCCAAAGGAAGAAGCTGTGTCGCCGATGACAACTCCTCCACCAGGGCGACGGAGACCGAGGTACCAGTACGCTGAGCCAGGCTCAGCGCGGGCTATATATCTCGAAAAGAATCGCAAAGCTGCTAGCAAATGTCGAACCAAACAAAAACAGGAGCAGGAACAGCTGGTTGAGACATCTCGGGAAGCCGAGCGCAGAAATCGTGTTTTGAAAGCAGAGTTGAATCTGTTGGAGCAAGAGCGACGGCAGTGGCTAGAGCTCGCCAATTCGCATATGAACTGTCCAGATCAAAGGATAGCCATTTATCTGCAGAACCAAGCAGACAAGCTGGGCTCACGACGACAACCAGGCCCTTCACAGCAGAACTAAGATGATTATCTTGAAAACCTATAATTCCTGTATCACTCGGCGCCGAGGAGAATTTTGCGCTCTAGAGATATTGAGTCTCCTTCGGCGTGAAGGCGGAGAGACGTCGGAGCTCCACCATGCAACTCCAAATTTCGTGCAGCATGATTCGCATGGCAGGCATCGGGATCTTGCATAACCTACGTCACACCTACATGGATAAAAAAGACTGTCATCTTTCACGTGCTATGGGATTACTCATACTACCGAACTCAGGCCCTATTGTCCACATTGGTCAAAGGGTTGGGGATGTTTTCCGACGCAAGAGGGGTGGAGTTGGGCCCGCCAATCAAGGCGAAGCTCACATGCTACCGGCGATTGGACCTTGAGCGTCAGCAAGAGCATAATGGCACTGGTTCTTGGGAACGACTAGACTACAGACACAAGGAAGGAGCAGGCCCTGTGAAAAACATCATCATGAGGGCTCTCCTTCACATAATTCAATAAACAACATGGCTTTGCCCTGGTGGCGTTGAATGTTCTTCCCCTGCTAAAACCAAGATCTTGTGATCGCTGCGCCTACAATGGCTGTGTTCGATATGGTGTTGTCTGCCTGAGCAGTATCTCTAATCTAATGGCTGTATTACGATGGAGCAATTCTTAAATGGTAATAACGATATCTGTACAACTCGTTGACATGGATCTATATTACTAAGTCTTGCTCTAAAAAGATAATCCCTTGCTTAGCATTCTTCCGGGCTATATCTGGTTGATTAATGAATCCACCTTCATGATGAAGAATCGGTGGTGTCGCTGACAATTCTTCTTAGCCTCGGGAAGGAACCCAGCCACCAGTGCGTACACTATTCTTCGCCTCCCGACTCTCTAGCATGTGTTCCTCATCCGCGCCTGTCGCTGAATCGTGGGAATGTTGGAGCTCAATGGGCGAGCCGCTCCGTAGTCTCTTCTGGTACGCGTCTGTAATTTGACTTGGATGGGTCCAGTTGAATGCCAGCATGACAAAGAACATGAGTGTGGCATCAAAGATATAG